ATACCCTACTCATCAACTTTTTTTCAAATTTAACTTTTTATCTATTGTGTGTGTGTGTGTGTGTGTGTGTGTGTGTGTGTGGATTTCACATCACTGTTTACTTTTTTGAGCAAGGATTCAAGAAGTTGCCATGGATGATAGTGAACTCATTGTATAGCCCAGGCAGCCTTTGAACTTGCAATTCTCCTACCAAAATGTTTTAACTATCTGAGGGTTAACTATCACATTCTTGTGTAAAATCATAGAGATTCAAATCAACATTTTTGTTTATGGTTTTAATTGGCATTTATTAATTATACACAACAGTGTTTCCTTGTGAGATTTTTCATACGATGTATGTAATGCACTTTGAATGTTTCATCACCTATTAGACTCTCCAGCCCTCTCCCTTCTGCTGACCACTTTCCTCTTTCCTACTAGTCATCCTATTTCATGCCTTTTAAACTTTTTTTTTGATGACCTAATGAGTTTCACTAGTATTGCTCAGAGAAGCATGGAGAGGAGGCTATCTGTACGAGAATGGCAACTTACCAGTGGCTAATAACTCTATTTTGTGGGCATGAAAAAGGGAAATTAATAACATGTAGAAAATTTGTAATTCTTAGCTGTGTTCATTTTGTTATTTTAAAATTCATATGTGGAAATCCAGTCCTTCAATGTGGCTATATATGGAGGTGGAACTGATTATACTAGGTTATAAATTTGAGTCCCTGATCTCAGAAAATTAGTGTACTTATATCAAAAAAAGAAATCATACTGGCATGTAAGAATAGCTTCATCTGCCAAGAAGACACACAGAGAGAAAACATCTACCTACAGATGAAAAGGAAAGTACTCACCTGCACCTTAACTGTATCTTTCTAACCTCAAAACAGTGAGAGATGGGTTTCCGTTGGAGTCATACCCATCTGGCGCTTTGTGATAGCAGCCCAAACAGACTGCCAGATTTGGGGGTAAACTGAGAAATACTGCCATAACAAATACCTAAAGACATGGAAGCAACTTTGGGAACTGAAAAACCCATAGAGGCCAGAGTTTTGAGATGGATGCTAGAAAGAGCGTAGATTGCTGTTGGTACATTAAAAGCTATTACAATTGCGGCTAGAAGGCAAAAGGAAAGCTATACACAAAGCCTCCATTCTGAAGAATAAATAATTATGAACCAAGTGCAGGTATGAATGTAGCCATGAAAAACCAGGCTGAGAAATTAGCAGACATAAAAGAGGACCATATTACTTAAGATTAGAAGAGGTGATCTTCATTACACAGTGTCAGAGAAACTTGGCTGAACTTAGATCCAACATTTAAAACTGGAAAGGGGTAAATTGAAGCTATTTGGCTGCATTTTCTTTTTTGTTTATATGTATTTGTGTCTGCATGGTGTGCATGCACATGTGTATGCGTGGACATGTGGGGGTGGGTGAATGTTGGAGCCCACGATCAGAGTCAGGAATCTTCCTTGATCACTCCACCTTATTCTATGAGGCAGGGTCTCTCAGTTAGAACCAGCACTGATCTATTGACAAGGCTACACTCTTTAACCATCTTGCTTCTAGAATCCCTGTCTCAGCCTCTCCAGTTAGGAAATGCAGGCTGACTACCATGCCCACTCCACATGTATGTGGATAGAACGTGAATTCACCAAATCTCACCCATAGCTGAGGATATTCCTAAGCAAAGCCTTGAAGGATTGAAGAACTGAATACAAAGTACATGAATTTGAAAATTTGGAGAATTCTTACCTTATTTATGTAGCATAAAATGAGAAGCCTTTTTTCTGAAAAGTGTACTTAGATGAGGGAGAACATTTAATAAGGAGGTTTGTGTAACTATTGCTGTCAGGAATGGGTTCCCAAACAGCCCACACAGAGCCCTGCAGATTCGACGCCGAAGGCAAAGGAGCTGCAGTACGGAATGACCGTTGATCATCTTTCTGTCACAGAAACTGCAAAAAAAGCAAAAAACAAAAAAAAAGCAAACAAAACCTACTTGCTTAGAAATCCCCAGCTGAATCTAGCATCGGGAAGCTGCAAGAAGCCTGCAAATTTGCCTTGGTAACCAGGGACGGAACTTCCCTTGGCGTTTCCCTATCCCTGTAGAGACAGACTTCTGGACCTGAGTGTTTACTTTGGGTAATTTTGGTAGTTCTGTCTTTCCCCCACTCCTACCTACACTCAGATGAAAGAGCCAAGGAACCAAAGCTACCCCATGACAGGCCAATTGGTAAACGCCCTGCAGCCTTATGCAAGCTTGATATAGCTAAAGATGGCTTTTCCCACCCTTCTGCTCCCCTAACCACTAAGCCACTAATCAATCCTATAGCAACCCATAAACTTTTTGTTTAAATCCATCAATCAGAACCAAGACGAACGTCTCCTGAAATTCCTCTAATCTTGCTATAAAGGAGCCTGCAAGCTTCTCTGGAGGTTGCCATTTGCTCATTTCCTGATTGGTTGTCCCCTTGCATGCACAGAAAAAGAAACACTCTTGTTGACTACATACATGACTGGGGGTCTTTTGTGGCACTTCTTGTGGACCCCAGCATAGCTTTTATAACGTGTTCCTGGATGGCCCCATGTTCAGCTTATTTACATACCGACATTCAGCCAATCAGGGTGTCCCCAAGCACATGATGCTTCTGACCTGGACTGGGAGCTTGGCTCACACAGACCCCTGCACCCGTCTAGCAGCTGCAGGACGAGGGACATCTTCCTGCCCCACCCAACAAAAATCCTCACTGAAGAAGGGAAGTCATGCTGCAGAAGTTAATTTGTCCCCACAGCTGCTTCTAGGCTCTAAGAACCATCACTTCTGAGACTTGGAGCTCCAGTTGCATTGTTAATGACCTACAAACTTGCTGTGCAAGTGACCACTTTTAGTCTGAGTGGTCCCAAGCCCTCAGTGATTTTGAGCTGTAACACTTATCAGAGCTGTAGTGGCTCATGGCTAGCAAGCTGCTGCTACCACATGTTGAAACTCGTTTCATTTAAATCCCAAGTGGCAATCAATTTTACGTTTCTTCATTCTGTTTAAAAGTTGTTGATCTTAAACTGACCATACAGCAATCCCCTATTTGTACTCCTTGTTGTTTGCCAATCCATTCATGGAGGGAGTGGAACAAAAACCTGCTGGAGACATCAAATGACCCCCACAGACTGTTCCATTATGAGGTTAATCAATCACTTTAGCAGTAGCAGAAACGGAGTCACACCAACAATCAGATTGTCAGTGTGAAATGAAAGAGACAAAGATGGTTCAATGGGAGCTATGTGAGACTTCCTATGTTTTAATAGTTTTCAGAGCCACAGGATTTGGGAGCAAATCTACAGATTTGGAGGCAAGACTTCCGCTCCAGAGGGTCCAGTATGTGGAGGATCAACAGACTGAATAGGCCAATTTTCAAAATTATAAATCAATGGATCTGGGATGGGAAAATGGTCTGGTGGATAAAGGTTCTTGTTGCCAAGCAAAACAACATAAATTCAGTACTTGGGATCCACATGGTGGAAGAAAGAACCAAACTCCTAAAAGTCTCTAGGTGTCTTTTTGTCGCTCTCTGGCTCTTTCTCTTTCTCTCACACTTGTTTTCATGCTTGTGCGCGCGAGCACACACACACACACACACACACACACACTTGAACATTTATACATGCACACACACAAATATAAACGAATACTTAAAAACAACTTAATGAATCCGAATCTAATGAACTTGGCATGCTGATTTTTTTCTTGGTTGGTACCTATCATTCCCTTCTTTCATTCATGTTCTTTGGATGGGAATCTCCTTCCTCTGCTTGTCCTTTTCTGTATTTTGGGAGTGTATAGTTTGTGTTTTGCATAGGTTTGTGGCTAGAGAGAAATTCTGTATAGAAATAAATCACACCTCTAATTCTGAGCCACATATATTTAAGATAATATTTAGACAGGGTTTCAGATGTCAGACTTTAGAATTAGTGCTCGACAGAGGTAAGACCTCTGGGGCTACAGAGTTTTAATGAATACATTTTCAAATTTAAGAGGGACATAAATACAGATATCAAAAGAAGAAAGCTATGGAATTAATTTTATTTGGAAATAATGTCTATTAGGGCATTGTAAGTAAGTAAAGTTATACTTGGTGTCATGAGTGTGGGTCCTAATAAGAAGAAATGTTAAGGGCTTTCTCTTTCTACTCTCCCCACATAGTGAGAAGGCAGAGCCTACAAGAGAAGAGAGCCCTTACCAGAAACAATTTTATCTATCTCCATCTTGAATGTGCCCATCTCAAGCACTATGAGGAAGAACATGGAGTGTTTAAGCCTGTCTGTCTGGTATGTATCACAGTGACTTCTTAGGCACTCCCATTTACATTGCCATCCATCTAGGGATGCTGTCCAACCTCATGATGTACATTTAATTGACTTTAATGTTCTTGGCACATTATCATCCAACTCGCAATAGAAATGTTTTAAATACATTCTATTTATTTTCTGAAGTCTTTGGTTAGAATGCAAGCACTGGGAAGGCAGGGACACTTTGTTCATTTTCTATTTTATTGTCTATCGTGTCCCCAATGCATAAGGAAAAAATGCTGTATTTTCTTGTTTGTGAGTAGTCACCATTAAAGTTGAACCACCCTCAGAACTCAGGAGAGACAAAAACACATAGCAAAGAACACGAGCAGAAAAAAAAGTACAGATATCAATTAAAATTAGAACAAAAGGAATATAAGCCTGGCAAAATAATGTTATGCAATTGTGCAATTGCAGTACTAGCAAAAAAACAAAACAAAACAAAACCGGAAGGAATAAACAACAACAGAAAAAGCATGCCCCTTTCAATAGTGTATAAATCAAGAACCAGGCTGAAATTTTGTAAGAACAAATTGCTAGGAATCAGGAACACTTCCAAGAATTTTCAACGCATACTATTCTGTGGTCAGAGCAAGAAAGCAATTGTACTATTTGCTTTGTAGGGGAGTAAATACTCTGAAATCATAGACACAAAAACCACAAAAATTGTACTTATCGTATTTCAATTTATTTCCATGTAAATTGGCTGTTACATGCTGAGTTAGTACAAATAACTATAAAAACAATAATTAAGTGCATGGATAAATATAAAAATAAGTGCAGCCTATTAGAATACATGATTTCTAACTACAAGTCTTTGGATTGAGAAAGCACCACTTAACTCCCTATTTAAAATCTATCTGGCAACAAACTCACTGCCAAAAAACATATTTGGTACTGAATCAGATCAACCCACAGAACACACAATTGACATTTCAGAGGTGTATGTATGTTCAGCAACATACCAACATATTTCGACAAGCATTAAATGTCAAGCATTACTCATATGGGATATTAACACATTAATGTTTTCATTAAAAAAGAAAGATCTCTTTCCTCATTATATTACATGGCAAATCTGTCAAATAAATTATTGTAAAGTAGTTTAAGCTAAGCTTTATAACACTGAAATTATATAATTCAGGGCAAATAACCTTTAAAATGAAAGACAAATGGCAAAATTTAAGGGCATTTAATTTGCATAAAGGTAAAGTTAACTGTCTTTCCCTAGTTACATATTTCATACCTGCCATATTAGGTTCTCAACACCTGTATAGGCCAGTTTTGTTTTTTAATGCTATCTTCCTAGATGGCCTTATAAGAATAGGTAAGTATGCTGATAGAAACATTGAAACACTGGAGTAGTCTTGTAGCTTCTATGTTCTCTGCTTCTTCTTTGAAATGAACACTTGGGTGTCTAAAACTGATATGCAGTTCTTAGACTCTCAGAAATTAATTCAAGAGACTTTCTTTGGGTAAACATTCATAGTGGTCTTGGAATAAACTACAGGACAGTTGACTTAACACAGTGTGTGATTTTTGTCTCGCTTGTCTTTGGATATAGCATTAATAGTTGACACTGGAATTAATGGTGTTAACTTTCTGTGCATTAAAATTATACTATAAATACTTAAATACATTCAAATTTAATTTATCAGACAATACTGTCTCAGCATTAACAACAAAACAGAACAAATCATCAATTGATTAGCTATAATGATTTTAATGTCAGTGATGATCCATAATCTACAACAAATTTAAAATGTTTATAATGCATGAGCTCAATTATAGGCCAAACTTTCATAGTAAACTGTCAATTTATATGTACCATAATACATTTCTTTCATGATTATATGGCAGGGACCAATGGATTGAGAATATCGCCACCATGCACCTTTAGAATAATGCAAATGGATGATGCAGAATAAAACTAATTTTAATAAGGAAGCTATTTGCAATTCTCCTTTGACCTCCTCATGAAACCATATATGTCAGCTTACTTGTGACTAACCAAATTAGCAATGAGGAGACTATGGCTTTGTGAACCAATACTGTTTTTTAGTTTGTTTCAGTAAAAATTAAAGTGATTATGAAATTAAAGTGACTATTTGGAACACTATTTTTGGCATTTTAATTTTATTATTTCATCTTACCAAAGTCAGAGATGCTAAAATGAAGAATCATATGAATGTTTACCACACACTTGTTGAGGAATATTTCAAAATATCACTTGGACAGGAGTTAAAATTTGCTCTTACAGATGCCCTTGAGAACCACTAAATGAACAGTACTTAATTTCTATTTTTAACTTGCTTTTCAAACCCCCTTTGTGGTACCTTGCTTTTCTTAAAGTATTAGTCTCTAGAATAGTTTAAATGCCATTAAGAATAAAGCATAACTATAATCTGTAGCTTCTTATATAAGTTAATTTGTTAGAAAATTGTGAAATTGCATACTTGCATATAGTTAAAAATGAAATATATAAGCATGAAAAATAATGTTTACACTTCTATCTGCCCCTTGGTATTGTCAATTACCCTGTTGTCTTTGTAAAGTTACAGATAATCACATACAAGTTCACCTCTAACAAAAGAAAATGGAAATATACCAGGGAGATCTATCTGCCATCTGTCTGTGATATATCTATTTTGGTATAGATAAATAACCTATTACATTTTATTGATTCGTCTCTCAAATTTAGAAAATTGACAATTTCTAAAGTTAATCTTGTACCAAAATAGCATAAAACCATTCTACTCCTGATATTTTGTCATCTAAAAATCCTATCTGAAAAATATTAGATAACGAATTCTCATAGTCTCTGATTGCACTAAAAATATGGTTGAAAACAGGACATCTTAAGGTGGCAATGTAGACCTGAGAGCTATCTGATTGTATGTCCAAATGTTTTTCAGTATTCACAACTAAGAATTCAGTATTCACAGAACTCAGCTTTACTAAAACACCAGTTGTCTTCCATATTCGAAAGCATAGTTGCATACATGAACACTGTCAGAGTGATTGTGTTGATGGGTATTGATGTCAATCTCTTCTAGTTTGTCTTCTTTCCAATTGCTTTATTTCTGTGGATTTCATTCCTCACTGTATATGGTGATACATTATCTTACAAGTGTTGAAGTAACTTTGGTGTAAAAAAAACTATGGGAAAACGGCACATTCATTAACTTCTTTTTATGTATTAATTAGATGATCTTAATTTTTTACAAATGGCTCATAAATAGTCCAAACCACTTCTGATCAAAATGTTCCTCTGTTTGTTAGCATACAACAAAATAGAAATAAGACCATATAGACTATTCTCATAAAAGGAAATAAGTGTCTTTACTACTTAGTAAAATAACGTTATGTGCATATTGATCCCTATATAAAATAACCGAATGAATGTTTATAAAGAAAGATTAGAAGAATAAGAGGTCTGCAAGCCATGACCAGTGGCTATGCAGCTGATAACCCATATCATTCTTGTTGAAATAGAGGTCATATGCAGCATCCATACACCAAAATGTGTGCAAAATGCCAGTATCTGGCCCTTCAGGACATTTGTTGAAGATGAGATGTTCACTTCATCACACGGGCCTCAGACTTCACTGTGATCACTGACTTTGTTCAAATTCTAAAAGAGAATAGGAAGAAATAACTGCACATTACTCACAGTATCTCCTAATCAGTACTATAGTAAAAGAATGGCAGGAACAGAAGCCAACCAAAAGTCATGGTTAGGAAATGGACATTCTCAGAGATATGAGAGTACAGCCATGTGGGAGGCTGCTCCAAATCCAAGGTCCAATGGCTGACTGTAACAAGGTAAATGGTGGAACTTCCTTTGGCCTTGATTTTCCTAGCTAAAAACTGGCTAAATGAGAGTATATACCTCATATGGAGTGGCAAATTTACTTAATTAGTATGAGTAAGGCCTTTAGAATATTCTAGAACACAGTAGATAAATTAATACACATCAATAAAAGCATTATTTGGAACCTACATACTGTTCTGACTGAAGATGGCAGGCTCACTATGGGAAGCACTAACACTATCCTAAGGAAGAGGAGGGCAAAATGATTCAAGTTACAGGAAAACTGCGGGAAACCACAGATCTGGGAATCATTGTAAAGCTAAACCAAAAGGCCCAATATTGTATAATAATGTGTGTATTTGAAGTCATGTGACCACCAGACTGTGTATATGATGTTTCAAAAGATGATAATATAAACAAACACAGTGACAAGAGTATCTGGACACAAGCATATATTTAAAATCTATATTTAGTATCTCTACATTGGAAAAAACCAAGAGCAAATTTAAGGCAGTGGATCTCAGAAAGCCATAAAAGCAAAGAATCTGCACTTGATAGGTGACTTTCAAATTCTCTAAGCCATGACAACATTAGAAGATACAAATTATTTAGCAAATGTTCATAATTTGCCCACAAAGTTGAACAGAATCATTCTTTTACTTACAATAAAAGTGTCAGAAGCAAAGGGAATGGATATTATAGATTTTTTTATATCAGTAGGAGGGAAATGGCTGCAATCCTTCCATAGCCCTTGATTCTGTATGCTAGTTTTTCTTACAATCCCTGCTTGACAGTTAACCAGCTCACCTTATTTGACTGGATGGTATTTATTGCAGCAGATACTGAGTCAAAAAAAATTGGCTTCTCAGTGTCTAGGTCTCCACAGTATGTCATTGCTTTTATCAAGGATGCTGCAAGAAAGCAGAGGCTACCTGAAGACGAGTGGAGCAGCATAGAGGCCTCACTTGATGGTAGTGGATGACACACTCTTACCTGTGCAGTTGGCCAAGAACACATCGACACCCCTGCTCTTGCAATCTAGGTAAAGCTGGAAGAATTAAAAGAGCACACTCTCGGTTAGTTCAGAAACTCAGTTTGGGGTGGGGAAAGAGGATAATTCCTGGGGAAAACAAACGATAAAAGCAATGTTTCTGAAGTCAAACCACCAGAGGGAGGCATTGTTACACAGTTAAGACATGCCCAGCAAGCTCTAAAAGACTCATACAGTGAAACATTATTCTACAGAGACTAAATTTGTCTGCTCATATTACCATTTCTTTAGAAAATGAAAACAGTTTTTTTTCTTCCCTGTAAGAATGATATAAGATTGCTTTCAACATCTTTTATTGAAAGTCAAGGACCAACCTGTGGAAGTGATGAAGGCTGCTGGCTTGCTAACTCTAATACTTTAGGAATATTTCATTGGCTCAGTAAATCTCAGCTATTAAACCTCATTATACCCTGAGCCAATGTTTCCAGTTTTAAAAGTCCATCACAGTGGAATGCACTGGGACCTTGACTCTTATGTCCTAGACAACTCAACCAGAAACAATTTATGAACAATTGATCTTAAATTCAGCAAAAGCAAATAAAGCTCACTTAAAGTGTATGTAAAGGGTCATTTATAGTTGGATGGAACTGGTTATACAATAGTGATGCATCTTATATACAAGACACAGACAGCTACATTTACAGTATCTTGAATGTATTGTAACCATGCACATCGTAGATACATAATTTCTCTCATCCTTCTCCATCAGCAAGTCATTATTTCAAAACGAGAATTGTAGATTGATCAGAGTTGTGCCAATTTGATTATAAATGAGAAACACAAAACATGAAACATGGGCTCTGACTCTGACATTGAATGAGTAGCTCCTGCTTCTGGAAGTACTTCAAGGTGACCTCTCACTGTTTGACTTTTTCAAAAGCCCAGTGGAGCACAAACACTTTGCGATTATGGGTGACTTGTTGATGTTGATAAATACAATCTCCAATTCACCGACCTCTACCCCCATCCCTGTCCCCAGTGAAAGAATAAATAGAAGTCACCCAGTTCCTTTCAATCCACAACTCCAGGATCAATGTTTTTCATGTTGCAGTAACTAAATATAGAGGGTTGCTACAATTCAGAGAGGCAGGCAAGACTGGAGGGGCATTGCTGCTCTCACCTCTAGACTCTGTCCCAAAGTAGCTGCAACCAAAAAATAATCTTTCTTGCAAATATATTGTTTGTACTTTAAGAAATGGTTTTAAAACTTGTGTGTGTGTGTATGGGTGCGTATATATTAGCTACTACTGTGTGTGTGCTTGTGTCACTAATAAACACATGACAGCACATGATGGAGATGTTTAAAAATGGAGTGGGTTAATTCTTTTCATGTTTATGTAGGTTCTGGAGATCAACTCAACATGTCAGTCTTACCTGGCAAGTACTTTTATACTCCAGGGAATTTCACCATGGCGAGAAATGACTTTTTAAAGTGAGAGAAGCAATACTAAGTGTTGCCATTTCTGAGTGCTTACTAACTATGCTGGCCATGTCGATACTTAGTATTTCCTGTGCATAGAAAAGCAAACAAATGGGGCCCAGGGAAATGGCTCAGTAGGTACAGCACTTGGCACAGATGCATATAGGCCTGAGTTTGAACTCTCAGAACACACAGAAAAGCTGGATGCAGTAGGTAGGACACTGGTCCTGAGGCGAGAAGGGAGGCAAAGACATGAAAAGTCACTGTAAATCACACATCACCTACCCAGCATACAACGAAGAGACACTGTCTCAAACAAGGTTGAAAACAAGGACTGAAACCTGAGGTTGCACTTTGACATACACATATGTCATTCATGTGTCCACACTCACACATATGACCACACACATGTAGGGAGATAGAAAAAATAAAAATAGACTTTATCTCCAAGCATGGACCTAGTATTGGCTGATACATGAATCCAGAACGTTTGTATCTTTAAAGCCTATGTTCTTTATTATATTATATTATATTATATTATATTATAATGTAGCCATGATGCAATAAAAAAGTAGTAACATGGATTAAAAAAATGAAAACAGGCACAAAACTGCTAGTTTTGTATACATAATGAAAAATACTTGTCAAGTGCAAGTATGATTTTCCTGCTGATTAAAAAAAAGAAACTATCAATTTTCTTAATTCAGCTTATAGAATTTTTAATCCATTGCCATGATTCAGGGAAAACAAAACAAATCCCTTCATTCATTAGCAGGCCCAATGCCTGGATTGCTTGATTCATCTTAATGTCAGCCTTCTACCTTAAGCTCAAGAGCAGAGGATATTTTGTCTTCTTCTTCTTCACCAACTCTAAGGAGTGTTTTCAAACATCTGGAGAGGGTAACTAATAATTTCAGTCACAAATTTAAATGCACTTCAATAACAGCAGCAAATCCACATGCAGGCCTATCATGGTGGAGGGTACAGAGAGTGACTTGGTTTTTTCCAGCACTGTCCCTGGACTACACCTGCAGCAGTCTCCTGTGAGTGTTTAAAAGGAAGACTTGGAACCAGAGTCTGGCCTCAGAAATTGAATTTTAGGTGCACTTAGGAATTTAAGCACATTTTCCTGGACTCAGACAATACAGAGAAAAGAAAAATACCAGCCATAAAGGCCATCCAGTGAAGAGAGGCTAGGTACCTAAACCTGACTTGCACCATGCACATAGCCGGAGTTCAACAGATCCAGCAGGATACCCAGACTTTCCAGATATAGACAGTCCCCTCAAAACACTGACACTCACATCGTCCTGGACAGAGATTCTTAATTTGACCTTCCATTGTGTGGAATGTGAAAGGTGGGAAATCTCAAAGTAAATTTAAAATACAAATGCAGAAATACAAAATATATAGGATCTCAGTCAAAAATCCACAGTGTAAAGCTGTACCACACTGATTAATCTGAACTCGATCGATCAATTTTTCTGTTCATCAATTTATATATTTATTCAGGAGATTGAACCCAAGGCTTCTATTGATAGTCAATACTCTGTCACTGAACTAGAGCCCCAGAGCTAACACAACAACAACAGCAGCAACAACAACCAAAACAAAAGCCGAGGATCAGGTAGAGAGAAAGAATAAAAGAGGGAACCTCTGTGTGGTTCAAGCTCCCATTACAAAGCGGTTCCCAGCCACAGCATGAGTGGGGGAGTGGAGAGAGCAGTTGCACTGAGTGGGACAAGCTGAAGCAGAGTTGAGGGAGGGTTAGCAGGGAGACACAGCCAGTATCTTGAGGTGGCTTTTCTCTCCATTCTAGGAACATTGAAAACTCACTTCCTGGCAGATATGACTCCCTTACCACTCAAATCTCAGTCTCCTCACTCCTCCAACTTGGAGCCCTTACCCCTTACGTCTAGAATCCAGATGGGTCTTCTGAAACAAACCTACTAAAGTATAAGGCACACTGTTCTATGTGTTTAGCGGTTTAGACTCTGTAGCTGAGGAATACTCCTGCTACTGAAGAGGAGGGAAGAAATCAGGCCTGACTCAAGTTGTGTAGATACCTCAACAAGTGTAGAGACTCCCGTGTAGTCGAAAAAAGTCAAGCCATTGCAATCCAGGACCAAAGAACACTTCTCACAGGGGCAGGGTTGGGAAGTTTCCTCTGTAGGAGACACAGAAACTCTAGTCAGAATATGTAGGTTTCTGCTGCCAACTTGGTTGAATGATAGCAAAGCAACAGGTGCCTCGCTGCTAATAGTAATTCTGAACATTTTCATTCTTACAAATTTCAGTTTGTTACCCATTACTTCTGAGCTCTGTTGCTTGTTTGTTGTTAATGTTGTTTTTATTATACTCACCTGGGAAGTTTAAATGAGTCTGAAAGGATATCTAGCAAGTTAACTCTAAGCATAGTGTAGACATTCTGAATGGTGCACTATCGAATCAGCTGCTTCTTTTGTGCATAGGTCCAGAGTAAGAGCCCTGTTTTGTGAGGTCTGAAGCTCATACACATCAGTTTATTTGTTAAAGCAAAAGTCCAAAGCTCGGGAGTATTCCACAGCTGTAGAGGTGATCTGTGCTAACATTAATTTTCAGTTAGTTCACAGTAAATCTGCATGAACAGAGCCCCAAGTTCACCACAGCCCTATAAAAAACAACCACAACCAACTAAACAGCATGAGCCTGTTGTATAGAAATGAAAACAGGTGATCAGAAAATATGAAGCATACTGAAAATTGTTACTTGAGAATCATTGTCAGGAAAACACTACTGGTGTATTTGAAAAGTCTTGTCCAGATAAATGATTTGTTTTCAACTTACAATTTCAGATCATTTAACTAACTAACTAAATTAACTACAGGGAATGTAATATGTCTGGGAATCCTTTAAATACGCAGTGGATAATAACAAGTATGAGTCAGAGCCTATTCTTTTCTTCAAGGAGCTAATAATTTGGACAAACGGATATAGACATGGTTGAAGATTAAATAAAACAAAGAAAGAAACAGTGGGAACTTACAAAATGGAGGAAATCTCCTTGAAGTGATCAAGGAGTGCTTGCTTCACTTTCAGTCTTGACAGAAATGCCTGTCGGGCCCCAGGGGCATTCAAACACATGAGTGCCCAGGACCCCCTACTCCTCCAGCTCCTTCCTGTGTCTACTGGATGCCTAGCACTGCAGTCCTGCCTTATGCTTCCCTGTTCTCCCAGAAAAAGAATGCAAAGCATTCTTGGAGACTTCCACTGTCCTTCCATTGACCAAGACATTCATCATCAGCTCAAACAAGGTAGAAAGCAGTTACAACTTAGGTCGTCCCAAGTAGGTGTCTTTTGTCGTGTACCATTAAAAAAACCACAAGACTTCACTCCCTAGCACAGGGATTCTTGTTTATTCTCTCCCATAAATTATGCCCCTGGTTAAGAAATGGGAAAGAATTGAAATGCAGGGACAATTAAAATGTTCATCCTAAGTAAAGAAGATCTGTACTACTTCACAGTGGAATGCTGATCTGGTCATAAATATATTTTTATACAGTGTAGAAACATTTTATCCTCTCAAAACAATTCAGTCTTGGGTAATTAAAAACAAATCTGTGTGTGGAACACATATGATATATGTATATACATATAAGACTAGATATTTCTTATTAGGCTAGATACTAAACATTTAGTAAGACTAATCATGTTCATAGCATACACTAGGACTCAGTATTTGGGAGTTTCCTATGAAAATCCTTTTGAACATATTGGTTTTAGAAAATGAAATGGTATGTGTCTTGTTTACAGCAGCAGTATGTGAGAATAACTCATACCACTTGGGTATGTGTTTCCCTGCTCCACTCTTGTTGATCACAGTAGAAATATTTATGTCACACACATAGGCAAGTGCTATGACTCTACCCATATTCCCTGCTCCAAAAATTGTTTGTTAAAGAATTACCAGGACAACCACTGCTTAAAGATCAGTGCTTTTACTACCCAATAGCCTTGATTAAGTGAATGACTAATCCATGAAAATATTTGTGGTTGGAGCTTAAAAGGGCAGTGATGACAAAATTGGTGTGAATATTGGAGGGAAGTCTTGTGGTTTCACTAACGTGCACGACAAAACACACTTTATTCTTGTGCTCAGTATTGTTCTGATTAAATGGTATAAAAAACATGTATTTCAAATTAAGTGATACTGTATAGTGTCATTGCTAAAAATTGTCTTCAAAATATTCAATATTCAACTCCAAAATAGAAAACTACTGAATTATAACGTTTTCTAGTCTCTTAATGTCCATGTTCTTCCTACAAACCTTCCTCTGGGAGGTTGTTCCTGTGATGCAGCGGTGCACCAGGTGATCAACATTGTCACTTAATTTGAAATATATATTTTTATGTAAGCTATTTCAAAGAAATCAACTAATAGCACCCCTTTTAAACAAAAATAGAATCCTAATGGTGACATTTCTGATCCACTGAGCTAAAAACTTAAATACAATGGACATTTCTGAAAACTTCCAAAAATAATAAAAATTTTCGTTTGCCCATATCTCCTCAGCCTTGTCATTGCAATAAATTATGGATATAACCTTGTTTTCCATGCATCTAAGAAAATCAAATAGCACAATTGGAATCGAATCATCCTAGATAAAACTAAAGAGAATGCAAGCTAATAGCTATAAGCATATAAGGTAAGCTTGGAGCATTGCAAAAGGGAGACTAATCTATTTCCACAGGGCAGGTGGTAAGTGATGGGCTTCATCCTCAACAACAAGAAAAGAAAAAAAAACAGAGGCATTAACCATCAGGTGTGTGTGAGCAATTAAACCCAGATTGTGGACAACAGCTCTTTCTTGTTGAATACTCATTAACCCCTTTAATTAAACAATATTCAAAGTTGCATAAGGAGTGTTTTCCATTTACTTCAAAAGATTCCGACAGTCAGTGAGTCAATTGTAATTTTTTAAAGTATCTTCTGTTGGTATCAATTAACTATTGAGAAACAGAATTCTCTCTTGAATTTCTAAGGGAATAATAGAACAAGAGCTATTTAGAAGAAACAATACTCTCTTTGGGAAAAGGTGAGGTTTTTACTGAACATTTCATTCACAGGTCTGCTCTCTCATTAATCCCAGCAGTCAATGAAGACAGATGCAGTGTGAATTTAAGCACCCTGTTAGGAGATGTAAGTGCGGTGGTGAACAGAGTGATGATGGCGCCTGCCTTCAATACACCAGTAGTCAAACGGAAAATAGTCAGCCCAGCTTGTAACTTACGAAAGCTGGAGAAGATGACAGAAAGTGCAAAAGAGGAACCAGAAACAACTGACAACGTCCCCCAACCCCCACAAACGCCTCCAAAGTTTACTTCCTCATCCTCAGGATCTGTGAATGTGCTACCTTCCAGGGCAACAAGAACTTTGCAGATTTGACTAAATTCTCGATGTTAGTATCGGGAGGTTATCCTAGACTATCCAGGGGTAAGGATATTCAGAGTCAGAGATGATGAAGGGATCAGAGTGACCTGAAGATGCCTCGCCTGACTTGAAAATTAATGGCAGCATGAACCAAGGAACGCAGACGGACCAAGTTGGAAAGGGGCAGGGAGTTTTCCCATTGCACCTCTAAAAGAAGTATATCCCAACCATAAAAGCAATGCTGTGCTCAAGGGACTCACTTGGAACCTTGTCACTACACTATAATGTAATAAATGTGGGCTGCTTTAAGGCCCTGGGCTTAGGATAATTGCTATAGCAGTGATGGAGGTTTATATCCCTGAGTTTTTTATTTGAGGGTTAAGAGTAGGGGAAGGATTTAAGGAAGATGGAAGCTTGCTTCAACTTTGGGGTCCATGACAGCAGAAGCCACCTCTACTTTTTTAATCACTGAGTATGCAGCATCACTTACCATTCCTAAGTCAAGTAATCTTAAAAGAATACATGAAATATTTGCCAGTGGATAACAACATGAAAACTGAATGCATATAAAAAAGCAAGGGTTATATGAGCAGAGACTTGGAGGTGGTAGAAGCCCACACGGCAAGTTCACCATGGCAATAGACTCTATGGGACTCCTGTTAGCAATATCATCAGATACCCTAAAATACTAAACATATTTCTGGAAGATCTTTTTCACAAGTTAACAATTATAGTTTTCATTCAGAAAATACCAAGGCTTCCATCTTTCCAGCTTCTCATTTATGTAAATAGTTTTTTCTGTTTGTTTATTCTGTTGAATGTCAACTCTACATCTGAAAAGGTTGTTAGATAAGGGGAATTTTTTGACTCACTTCTCCTTTACCCAGTGCTTTTCTTGCTCCATGTCTCCCCTTGATTGAGTCTCTTTGGGTCCTATTCTTTATCACTTAAACCAGCTGATATCTCCTAGGTGCCTGCACATCACATTTAACTTACTGTCCTGTAAATTAAATACAGCTTCCCTTAAAGGCACACCTGGATTCTGTTTCGTTCCCAGTTTGAAAATTTTAAGCTTTGTGTCATCGTTTGTCTCACAACAGAAAAAAAGCGATCTGAGCGTCATGTTGATTCATTTTGAAGGAAATTAAGGACAGCTGGCATCACAGAGGTGATAACCATAAGGTAGTGAGCCCCAAAAAGGTTTAGCTATGAAACTGGGAACAAGATCATACAAGTCTTAGAAAGGAGGGGGCACAGTGGTGTGACTGAATAGGGGGCAGGAAGGAGGAGGAAGGGAAGGAGGAAAAACAAGCTTGCTGATGACTAAGGATAAATTGGAGTGCCCAAAGAAATGAGAAAATGAAGATGGTGAATGAATAGAGAAGTTTTCTATCAGCACCATATACTTTAATATGTATTTCCTTATAATCTACCTCTTTCTCGATTTCCTACTATTTCTTCTTAGATAATATGTAAATATAAGGAGTATTTATTAATGAGACTCATTAAATACAATGAGACTCTGAGGTTATTTTCTTGTTCTAAACTTATTTCTATTAAAAGCTTACAGTTTAGGAGCTGATGAGATGTGAGATGTCTTAGTGGTTAAGAGCCTGTACCATTCCTTAGACGGGACCTGAGCCTGGTTCCTAGAAGTCCTTAGAAGGTGGCTCACAACTGCCTATAAGTCCACGTATAGGGAGTCAATGTTGTCTTCTGGCCCATTGCAGGTAACTGTATTCATGTGTACATGCCCCACCCTTAACCTCCTCCCACACTTACACAAAGAGCTGGAGTCAGACCTCATATCATGCTTATGAATCATGCTCACATTCACTGCAACAGATTTTTAAATTTTTTTTCTTCTCCTTGTCCTTTTTCTTTCTCACCAACTAATGATATTACAACCATATAATGTATAATTCAATATCAACCTGTTGGTAATTTAGCCTTCTGGTTAGATATGATTTTGATTTTATTCATTCTGTCTTTTACCACCTAGCTGTTGTAGGTACTGCTCTGTGATGTCACTCATATTGCACAGTCATGCATCAGTACTGTCCCGCTCAGACTGCACAGTTAGGCATCACTGCCTCCTATGTCTTTCAGTTTCTGTATATTGAAAGAAAGTCAACCCAACACATGCTCTTACAGGAGGATAAACTTCTAGAGAATAAACATTGACCTGGACAATTTATCAAGGACACATCAGTAAAACATGGTTGCTGTCGACTGACATTTATCCTAGGAAAGCATGAGATCCTGTAACTGATTTAGTGGTGTGAAGTGGAAATCTAAATGTATGTGAGATTATTTGAGGGAAAGGTGGATCTACAGTAAGACTATATAGTGTTGAGATATACAACTTATGGAGAAGGAAAGGAGATAGATGGAGGCGAGAGCAGGGGAAGGGGAAAGAAGTGAGAGGTAGAAAGGAGATGGAAGAAGATAGGGGAGAGGAAGAAGAAAGAGAAGGGAGGAAGTGTGAGGGAGAGGCAGAGGAATGAAAAGGAGGACAAGGGAAAAATGAGAGGAAATAGGACGGGGAACGAGAAGGATGAAATAAGGGGGAACGAGAAGGATGAAATAAGGGGGGAAAGAGGCGATTCGAGCTGAAGAACAACAAAACCCCTAAAGGTAGTGGGAGGCCAACAGAGAGGGAGAAGAGAAGCGGGTTTTTATTCCCTGTGTGAACTCAAGTCGAGCCATTCAGACTACCTTGTCCTGAAAGCAAACTCACCATTGCAGTTGCCATTGGACAGGGGATTGAGCAAGGTGTTCTGTTCACACTGAAATGAAAATAAATGTAAAGAATAAAAATGTGAAACAATATAGCTATGCATTCCTTTCTCTGTGGGGGTGACAACAATTAGCTCATTCAGATTTTTTTTCTCTAGACTTGTGTCATATGCTGTGTTACATGAACTAGGAAATGAAGAAACAATTATGGACTGGAAATAAGTATATGTAGGTTCAGTAGATACTTTGCTCACTGAGTCAGATGTAGAATGTCTTTTGAAATACTAAATTTGCTTTGATCTGAGGTCAGAAATCATTTCACACACACTAGCCCCATGAAAATGCCTGAGAAGCACTTAGAAGTTGCTGGATGTCAGGGAGGGAAAACACAGCTGTTCTGTATCATAGTTCAGCTTCTCCAACAGTGATGGCTCAGAATAGGCATGCTATCTGTTTATCAAAAAGTATACTATCATTTTTGGCTGTTGATGATGACAATGGGTATTTTTCAGTGTTTACTTTATACCCAAGTCTTGATGGCTTTAACAATTGAATCCTCAGAACCATCCTGTGAAGAAACGAATCTTGTCTTCCATTATGGGGGAGTGAAGGATGACCAAGTTAGAAAACAGGACCAAAGTCACAAAGCGAGACACAGCTCAGACTGGATTCAAAGCCAATACCTTTCTGAGTTTCTGCTCTCAATCACTGCTTGGACAGTTTCTCTGTGTATCAATCCTCAAGACAGAGTGGGAAAACATTTTCCTTTGTGTGTGGTCCAGTGAGACAGATTACATATTTCTATCAGGTTGCTTACATTTACTTCCAAGACTCAATCTTTGTTTTACGTAGTGCTTGGACAATGACAGCAACACCCTGTGGCTGTGCCATAGAGACTGGCCTTCAGCAGAGGCAATTTTTCTTTCTTCCTCTTCCCTCTCTGAAATCTCTTGTACAGAAGAATTTCAAATTATTTATTTATTTAATTTATTAAATACTGTACTTTCAGGAAGTGAACTATAATTTCTTCAATTCCATATAACTGGACAGAACACAGCGACTTCCTTCCACAGTATAGTGTAGAAAAGGTAGAAAGTGGAGGAACTTTCGAGAGGAATCAAGTCACTCCTTCGCTTATGGGATCAGTATTACTACCAACAGTAATCAGTCATGTTTGTCTTACACAGGTTGGCTAGGATGCGAGACTCTGCACTGATAGTGTTTTTTCCAGAAGAGTATAACCCTAGTCTTACAAAGCAAAACACCAAACAGATTCCAATACAGAGGCATTCTAAAAGATATCTGGCCAGCCTGCTCAAAACGTTCAAAACCTTTAAAACCAGAAAATTTAGGAAACTGTGTCAGAGAACAGGAGCACAAAGAAACGTAACAGTTAAATGAAATGTGATGCATTAGCTAGAATCCTGGACCCTCCTCCCCTCACCAAATAAGTAAATAGATGCCCCTCAACCGAAGAGAGGATAGAGAAAATGTGGTACATTTACACAATGAAGTACTATTCAGCAGAAAAAAAACAATGGAATCCTGAGATTTGCAGGCAAATGGATGGCACTAGAAGAAACCATCCTGAGCGAGGTAACCCAGTCACAAAAAGAGAAACATGGCATGTACTCTCTCATATAAGGATTTTAGACATAGATCTGGGGAGTGCCAGCCTACAATCCCATGGCCAGAGTCTGGGAAACAGAACCTTCATTCAGTGGCTGATGGAAAAAGAGGCAGACTCCCATGGCTAAGCACTGAGCTGAACTCAAGAAAGCCAGTAACAGAGAGGGAGGACTGATGACCAAAGGGATTAAGACTGGGCTGGTTTAACCCCCAGAAACAGCTGACCTGACAAGGGTTAGCTCTTGAATCCCAGGCTGATGCCTGGGAATCCAGCATGGGACTGATTAAGACCCCCTGAATGTGGGTGTCAGTGAGGAGACCTAGGTAATCTATTGAGCCTTGGGTAGTAGATCAGTATTTATCCCGGGTATACAAATGGACTTTGGACTCCCATCCAACAATGTGAGATGCACTCTCATCCTGAACTCTTGGGGGAGGGTCTAGGCCCTGCCCTGGATGAAATGACAGACTATGGACATCCACATGGAGAGCCTTACCCTCCCTGGGGAAATGAGGGGAAATTGGGGGGGTTGGGAGGAGGACATGGGAGGAGGGGAGGGAAACGGAGAGGGACCTCGAACTGACTTGTGAAGCAACCTTGTTTCTAATTTAAAAATAAATAATAAAAAAGATGGATTTGTTAGTTGGAGCTGGTATGTGGTATGCAAGACATTAACATCTCAAAGTGTTATGAGGTTTAGAGAAGCTACCCTACCTTCTTAGTTTTCCTATAAATCAAAACTGTCAAAAATAAGGTAATTTTTAAAATATAGTTTGTCCTAACAAAGTACCAACTGTAGTCCCACTATGTGGCACTGGTGTAAGCACTTCCAGCTGAAACATAACTTTACAAGTGAATGATAGTCCTAAAAGAAGGAAGGAGACGGAAAGCAGTGTTGGGAATACATGTTCTCTTTACATGGCCCTGGGTTACACTGCATTGCAGGGTTTTAGGTGAAAGATAATAAATTCCTAGGTTATACTGTAATGAGGAGCCAAACACACAGTATTAAGTTCTTTTTTCTGAGAAGCAGGTCTATAAACACACCTGTGCCTTATTGTTGTTTACCTGAGGACATTTTAGTGGTCTGTAGTATGACACACATCATTAACCTGGCATCCCTACCTTGTTGACATCATCGAGTGGGTGACTGCTGTCATTTCCCTCTAGGATTATTTTCATTAGATCAGTATTCAACTTCTTTGCATTCAGGAAAACAAGTGGGTTGTTTATTGAGATGATTTTAACCTGTTGCAAGGTTTCCTTTTAAAGGGGGAAAAAAGAAAAGATTCAGAACTCTAGAACTCTGAATCAAATGAGAAAAAAACAAAACATAAACCAAAAACTAATTATGCCTCATCATACTAAATCTTATGAGTCAACACATCATTTAATTGTGGATGCAATCTCTCTCTCTCTCTCTCTCTCTCTCTCTCTCTCTCTCTCTCTCTCTCTCTCTCTTCTTTGGATTTATTTAGTTTTGTTTTTACATCCTGAATGCAGTTTATCCTCCCTTCTGTCTTCCAAGTGCCCCCGCAACTCACCCATCCACTCTTCCTCCTCTGTTTCTCCTCAGTAAAGGGCAGACCTCCTATCAGTATCAACTAGCTATGATATATCAAGCATGGATGCAATCACTTAGCTAAAATTTTTGTTATTGAAATTTACTTGTAAGTCTTAATGAAATACCACATATATCAAGGAAATACAGACTTCTGTATTGAGAAACATTAGTAACAATACAAGCTCACAGTTTTTCAGTAAGTTCAAGGCAATAGCCTAGACTGCCCATCTCCCCACAAAATCCCTCTTTCATTCCCCCTATGAATTAAAATTAACTTACTGTTGTTTTCACAATGGTGTGGATCAAACCCAGAGCCTCTCATATGCTAGGCAAGCTCTCTGCTACTGAGTCCACCAGCATTTTAATACAACTGAAACTATCTCAAAGTGTCAACTATCATCGCTTTACAAAACAATCATGTAAGCTCCCTTCTAGCTGAAGCATGACTTTGCAAATAGTTGGCAGTCCTAATTGGAAGAAAGCCATAAAAGACAGTATCTGAAACACAGGTTTCCTTAGCCGACCTGGATTACATATGCTGCCAGATTGTAGACAAAAGATGAAAAAAGGTTCTGACACAAAATATTTCTACTTTGCCCATCTGCTCAGATAGTATTGACAGCACTTGGTGCTGTCTAACCCAAACTCCCTTTTCTGTGACTTTGGGACAGGTATCTTGATTGAGAAGATGGACAGTCCTATGCAATGAAAGCTTGTTCCCAACCAAGCAAGACTTTATTCCTTCAGGCTTTAGTATTCCCACAGAGGAAGACATGCAGAGAATAGCCATGCATGCAGGCAGAAGAAATAAAAGATTTAGGTACATAAATGTGGGTAATTCAATCGCTCACTGTTCACCCACTTTTTAAAATAAATGGTCAAAATATATATTTCAGGGTTTATAAAACTGAAAATACCTGAACTCTAGAAAGTGAGGGAAGTGCAACAAATAATACAAGAAAGCAAACAGATTAAGCTGCCAGTGTAACTTTTAATCCAGAGGCAACCACTGAGAAACTGAAAGAAAACCATTAATGTTTAGGTCTGCCATATTCAGTCATCAAATTTGATTGTTCCAGGAGTTTCAAGATGAAAAAACCAAATATTTGTTAACAAATAAAGATTTGGCTGCTATACAAAGAAACCCTGTCTCAAAACACCAAACCAAATAAATAAACAGAACTGAGTTCATTGAATGAGAAGAGATATCCCAAGTTTGAATGGGCAATTTGCATGAACAAGGGGTAAAAAAAAAGTGGGGGGGCACCATTTTAAGTAAGGTAAAACTTTCATTCAATAGTTTACCTGAAAATTATGTTCAGTCTCACATCTTTTCTGGATAATATTAGGAAATTAGTAGAATGTAACATTTTAATGAAATTGGGATTTTTACTATTTATATGGGTTACAGAAGAAACAACCCAGATTTGAGAACATGAGAAATTTCTAGCATTTGCATCTGTTCTAAAAATCACTCATTCACCATAAGTTATGCTTGGCCCAAGAAGGCAAGGATTGCACAGTTTGCTCACCAGTGATTTTTAGAATAAAAACTTGTCAACCTAAAACCATATTCTATCTCAAAGATGAGGACATCAATGGAGGATGATGGGACTATGAGCAAAATTCCCATGGGAAAAAATACAACAGAAAAGAAAGGCTGACTTGGTTGAAAACCTCCAAGGCTTGGAATTAAACAGCCCTCTGTGAAACAAATCTCTTATTAAAAGAACAAACCATTCTCCTAGGGGGTCACAGAAAGACTCCTGACCTTACTTCCTGTTTTCAGGCTACCTGGGAAGACCTTGACGTTTGTCCTTTCGGAAGGAGGCCAGTTCTCTGTGTTCTGAGGGGAATCATAAGGTAACACAAGTGAATGTGAAAATAAAGGAAAAATGTTAACCAAACATTTATCAAACAGGTTCAAAGTAAGGCCAACTTTTAAAAATGGGAAAAAAATGATTCAAGAAAACACTTACATCATTATTATTTCTCCCTCACTTTAAACTTTTCTGGTTATTTTTGGAAACAAGAAACTAGAACTGCCCGTTCCTGCCTAGTGGGCACCATACTTGGTACACAGGCTAAACTCAGTGGGCTAAACTCATACTTGGTACCCTTGACTAAACTCAGTGGGCCACAAAACAAAACAGAAAGATGAGAATGTGGGAAAGGGGAGTAAAGCAAGGATGGGTTTGTGAAGTTCAGAAAGAGATAAGACAGGATGAGTAAAAGCAATCCTGCATGAAATTGTCAAAGAATAACTTTAACTTTTGCAAGATAATAGAACCCAAACAAGGCCAGCTAGTTAATGTAAATTGCCTTTTTATGAAAGTTTTCCACTGTGTATAATTCCACACCTATTGGCATTCTATACAGAGCCTCAGGTTTAATAATTCAGTATCATTGTATTTTCAAATAACACTTTTAAACTTCTTTGAGAATTTCATACATGCATACATATGATCATATTCACCATGCCAAGAATGACTAGGTTATTACAACAGCAGTGCTTGAATGACTTCCTTTTTCCTTTTTTTTCTATTCCCTAATTTTATTTATCACCTAAGGAAGAAAAATCTATCAGTTTGGCTTATTTTATACAGTTTAGTAGTGAAAAAGAAGTTTTCACATGCCTAAGGTAGTCTCTGCCACAACTCAATTGTGAACTCAAATTCTATGGGCCATGGTGTGATTTAATTAGAAACCTAAATTCAAAGAGAACTTTTCTTTTTCTCTACTGATTAGTGCATGTCCACTGCCATGTGTGGTACTAACATGTATACCTCTGGAAATGTATAGAAAGTGGAATGATGTTGTCAACTAGCATAATTTATCTAATCTTAGGAGCCTTCAAAGCTGCCTCATCCACAAATGTTAATACTTACAAAGAGACAAGGAAGTTAGACTTACATCATGCATTTCTGTCTTCACCTTAAATTCCAATTCTTTCATGTTTGTTATGCTTAAAGTCTTTGCCCTAAATTCAAGGCAGATGAAAATTACGAGTCATTTCCTGATCATTATATTAACAGAGAAGAATCAAAAGCAGCAGGTTGTTTTTAATCATAAAATTAAACATTATGTGGTTTATACTCTATAGTGATTTTTCTAGAAGACATTGGTAAATCTATATTTTGTGAGGATGTCCTGTAGTAGAGAATAACAACAAAGGTATCCAACTAGAAATTAATAAATAGGATTTATCTCATTTAATCCCCCAGAATCCCACTGCTCCAAACTGTAAGAGATATACTGATTTGAAAAAATTATGAAATGAGAAAAGCTAAAGACTATATGGTGTCTCATAAAATCTTGTTAGAAGAGTGGAAGGAAAGGGGTTTGGTGGCAAAAAGCAAGATCATAGTCTGTATTTCAGGTTCTAGACAGGTGAGAAAACATATTTTATATTTCACTTCTTAAAGTTATAGGCTCAGATTATTTCATAGATAATCCCAGGGGACCCATGAGAATGGAGTATGACAATTAGCGCATGAAGTTTGGGGATGCAGGAAAGTGAATAGTGAATGAATTGATGATGCTCAGTGGAAATCCAAAGCAATAAAGCATTCAGCAGCAGATGGCACGGCTTCTCAAAAGTGAAAATGGTCATGTAATTTCTCAAATAATGACTACTGGCACGTGTTTACATCTTATTGAATAACCTATCCTTTATTTTGTTTTCAAAATGCTATGATAAAGTATATGATCATGAGATGTATTGATTTTAATAGATGCTATGAAATTTGTTATAGTTTGGGGTTTTTTTTTATTCTGTGGAGTTTTTAAATTTTTTTTAGATTTCTTTTATTATTTTAATTTTAAATAGTTTGTTTTACATGTCAATCCCAGTTCCCTCTCCCTCCCCTCCTCCCGCACCCCCCCACCATCGCCCCCAGGCTCCCACCCTATTGCCATTTCCTTCCACATAGGGGGATATCTAGAGTCACTCAGGGTAGGGTCCAGGCACTCCCCCTAAGAGTCCAGGCTGAGAGAGCATCCCTCTTTGTGTTATGGACACACAATGTCTGTTTGTATTCCAGGAATAAACACTGATCCACTGCTCAGGGCCCCATAGGTTGCCCAGGTCTCCTCACTGACTCACACATTCGAGGGGTCTGGATCAGTCCCTTGCTGGCCTCCCAGCTGTCGGTCTGGGGCCCAAGAGCTCTCCCCTGTTCAGATCAGTTTGGGTTTTAAATGGCTCTCAAATGCCCATGTGTTTTAGGCCTGGTTGCCAGCTTATATTGCTAGTGGAAAACAATAGAGCCTTTCAGAGTTGAGGGATAGCAGAAAGGAACTAGGTCACTGGAAGTGTGCCATTGAAGGTGATATTAGCACCATAACACCTTTGTCTCCTTGTCTTTGGGGCAATTAGGAGAAAGCAGACTTATTCTACTGTTCACTTCTATGAATGCACTAAGACACTGCAGGCCCAAGGCAACCTCCAAAATCATAGGCAAAAATAAAGTTGTCCTTTAAGTTGGTTTACTTCAGAGATCTATTAGTATATTTCATATGTATGTAAGATATTTTGCTATTTCTTTTTCTGTTTCCCCACTAGAAGTAAGAGAATATGAAATGATAAAACAATATATATTTTGTGTAAAAATAAAAGTAACTATAATATCATGTGTTTTGCCATAGAGCAAAAAGAAACAGAGTATTTAAATAAAGCCTTACCTTGGGAAGCGTCCTATCACAATGGCTATGGTGCAGACAACACCAAACAACAATCCCACATTGGCAGCAAAGCATATTGTAAATATGTAAGTACTGATCCATATGCCCTAAAGAGACATAGAAAAAAGAGGTGACTACTCTTTCTCATTTTTCTTAGAACTGCAAATCACTCACAAATGAATTCAACAGCACTCCACTGAACAAAGTTTGCTTGTGTATTTATTCTCTCTCTCCCCCACTCGTGTGTGTGTGTGTGTGTGTGTGTGTGTGTATGTGTGTATGTGTGTGTGTGTGTGTGTGTGTGTATGTGTAGGGTGGGGAGTGCAAAAGTAAGCAGACCATTATGTGAGTTGCCTATAGAAGGCCAAATGAAAACTTACTAGAGTTGGATCTCTCCATGTAGGTTTCAGGGATGAAACTCAGGTCAGCAGGATTAGCAGTAAGTGCCTTTATCCACTAAGCCATCTCAACATTGCAAGAATATTTTATGTAATGTGAGTAGAAATACAGAAATACAGAAATACAGAAACATCCCATGGCTCCATTATACTCTCAGCAGTAGAAGAGGAAAGGTACTTTGCTTAACCTGTAGGATTGCCAACTCGTCATTCAAGCCCCAAATACTATAAGTCATATCTGTAACTAGTTGGTTGATATGTATGTGCACAAAAGTACATTATAATTTCCTACTATTCTTATTTAATATAATGGTGTTGCAAGCAATGATTTTCAGGGTTCTTCTGTCATTCTTAACACTATTCTATGGTTACTGTACAAAAAAAATCTGATATAGTTTGTTACTATATACAAGGTTTTCAAAGTCTAGTTTTAAACTAACTGGATAAACCAACATTGACGATGATTTTAGACCAACTACTAGAAAGATCTCATAAAGGGCTACTTCCTACAAAGGTAATTTCATGGCTGATTTAATTCTTAGAAGGATTCCAATGCTTTTTAAGAAAATAAATTCTCTTTTAATTGTAATTTTAAATTTATTGTAATTTCACCCACCACTGAAAATATAATCAAAACAAAAAAGGTATTTCTAAGTTTAGAGATGAAAAATATCTTCAAAAGCTAAAATAATTTTATGAAATCTAGAAAGGTTATACTTCTAAACTCAAAATCCTATATTTATAAAATCCTAGACTAATAATTATTTTCAGGTTATTTTCCCCAATGGTGCATGTTACATACACCATTTTCCATTCAATTCTAACTTTTTTCTTTCTGTTTCAATGTTTTAAAGAAACTTCAAAAATGTAATTCTTGTCATCTACAGCCCAAAATCTTGTTAAAATACAGTCAACGCATAAAATAAAATGAATCTATAAAAGTAAAAACATCTGAAATAAAAAATAAATGTGCTTTTAAAACCCTAACTATACATAAGATCTAAACCTGTCAAATACTCAGAAGTTTGGATGCTAATCAAGAAAAACACATGAATCCCACAGCTTTTTCCCAGTTTTCAATCAACTGTAGTCTTTCAAGGTCTTTGCAATCATCTTATTGGTAAGAGTCCATAGGGACAGAGCTTTGAAATTTCCTGGCTGGGGCAGGGTCACCAGAGAGGGAGCTAACACAGCACAGAGATGCTTTTGATAAAATCGGACTGCATCAAGCCAGCATAGCCATTTGTGTCGCTCTATCTTGTTCCCAACCCGAGAGAAACCACTAGTGTTTTCATTGCCATTGTGACAAAATACTAGAAGGAAACACCCCAGAGCAGGCAGGATTGTTTACTTATGGCTTCAAGGATTTCATTGACTATTATTGGCCTTTTCTCTTCCTTCACCTGGTCCCCGCCTTGGTCACATTCAACACAGACCTTGACATTGTAGTTTATGCTCTCTGGAAGCAACATGGCAGACACATCCAGAGTCATACTTTTCTAACCTCAGTGTTGCTCAGTTTACTCACTTTGACACCCACAATTAACAGGCACAGTTAGAGATGAAGGAAGACAAAGAATGCAGAAGTGACAGTGTGCTGTCACCAAGCACCCTTAATTCCTAAAGCTACTGCTCAATTAGGGACACATTGCAAGCAGACACGCCTAAGACAGAACTGCAGGAGGCACCTGTTTACTTGCCATCTCCTGCTGCTACCCCATTGACCATGGTCTTAAAGGAATCACTGAGAGACCTAGCCAATGAAAGGAAAAGAAGGATAACCCTGAAACAAAGCCAAAGAATAGGTTTGGGCATGTAACAAGCATCTTAAGGGAAAGAAAAAAAAAAACCTAGTGATTCATATGGAAATCCAGCATACACTTATTTCGTTAAAAAAAGAGAGAGAATTATATGGAAAAATAAAGTTGTTGACTATAAATAAAAACAGCATTTATATAAAAACAGTATTTAAAGTGTAAAGCAGGATGAACATACATAGTTCATACTAAAGACACTGCACATGGACACTTGAGGGGAGGGCCTGGGCCCTTTCCGGAACGAAATGACAGACTCTAGAGATCTCCCATGGAGGGCCTTACCCTCCCTGGGGAATGGAGTGGGGATTGGGTGGGGGGGCTGGGAGGCTAGTGAGAGAGGAGTGGGCATGGAGGGGAGGGAGAGGGAGCTGGGACTGACATGGGAAGCAAGCTTGTCTCTAATTTAAATATATAATAAAAAGTGTTTTAAAAAAGACACTGCACACAAGAAAAATTAAAAAAAAAATACTGGTGAATATATGGTTCATTAACAAGAAAGCAGAACGTGTATTTGCAGAACAATATTCAAGTACAGGTTAGAAGAAACATTTTGTAACTAGTTTCTACCCTGAAGTTGAGCATGAGGTTCACAGAAATTTTATACTATACCCTAAATCACAGAAATAGTAAAAACGATGTTACTGAACTTTGTGGGAAGGAAGACTAAAGGTCATGGACTATTAATTTGGAGAAGGCTGCTCACATAAAACATTAGTTATGTTAGCTGTGACTTCTTTACCTAATCTATCAGTGTCTGAAAACATGGCCAGCTCTAAAAGACCCTGACGGAAAGCATTTTAGACAGCCTAACATTTTCTTATGGTATATGAAGTGACCAACATTTTCGAGATGAAATGACTCAGGGAATATAAACTCCATGAAAATTCTTAGAAAACTACTTGATAACGGCACACAAAACAGAAATGAGTGAATTATGGTGAATAATAAGCTTGTGTTTCTGTCCCTTCTTCCTGCACAAATGGTGTCAAGAAGGTGGAGTCTTCATCAGTCTACACATCCCTCAGGCACTCAGCCTTGTGCTGTGCTGAGAGTCACAGGGGCAACACTGTGAAAGTAAGTACCAAAGATTAAAAGAGCAAATGCAGGTCATGGCATTTCAATAGGACAAGTGACGTGTACGGCAGAACCATGGCTACTCATGAAATTCTTTGCTTTCCCTGGAGAGAGGGAAGATTTTGGGACACTTTTATGTAGGCCAGCTTCTCTAGAATATAAGTACACTAAATATTTCTGTTAGCCAAAACACACTTTGACAGTGTTTAATGTTATCTAATCTGTCCTGTTCTCAGAGTTATCTTGTTAATATAATCCTCCCATGGTTTAATCCGTTTGGAAGGCAAGTTGTGAGGCTTTTTGGCATGAACATGGACACTATTGCACCCCACCTTGTATCCATGTATCATACATCTAATGCTGGGTTTTCATACACATGATAAGCATCATATTTCTCAGTGTGTACTTCCTCACTAAGCTCTTCCTTCCAAATCAATCCAAAATTTAAGTCGGGTACCCTCAATCCACTCAAATTTGCTAGTCTATCTTTGAAATTTTTCAAACTACACATTCATCAAAGTAAGACAAGATTCTAAAAAAGAACAAAAAACAGTAACAGACAAAATTCTGTGTTCATGGTTTCATTCAAATTGTGAAAAGCTAACTGGGTATCCACGAGTCTCAAATGGTTAAGCATATTTCCTTCCAGTATATTTGGCAGCATGTCTTAAGCCAAAGAGGAAATGTCTGCTCAAGCTGCTACTTACCCAATCAATTTTATCCACATTCCAGTATTTCTTCAAATCCCGGAACTGTATTAACATTCCCTTCAGTCCCACAACAATGATGCTGGCAAGGACACACTGCAAAGGGAAAATAAGTTGGGGAAGAAGAAGCAGGACAAAGATTTTAATGTGAATTTAAAGCGCCAAGGTATTTTCTGCTTACTTTTTTTTTCTTTTTGTAAAGTGTAGAGAAAAGGTCTCACCGATTAGGTTAAAGTAATATTTGTTCATTTAAAACTTATTTTGTCCTTTAGGGATGCATCAATTTTAGGAAATCACAGGGCAAAACCAATGCAGGTTGAAAAGAGCAGGTAAGAAAAAGAGAGGAAGTGAATTCTGAGGGGAATATCACAAGGTTGAGGTCCTTTTTGTTAGTCACTGTATTTTATTTGAAATATGTTTGTGACAGAAATTATACATTTATCTCATCTATTTCTTCACAGGGGTCCTAATATTAGTCATTTGTTTCACCTATAGATGCTTGTATCTGTGAAAAACAAATTTGAATATTAGGCAGCTGTCTTATGAAGACAGTGACTCTTCCTTGGGAATTTAGGACTTATAACACCAGAGGCTAAGACTGGGATGGCAGCTGGGATCACTTGGGAGCCCAGGTCTGAGGAAGGGTAGATGAAGCACCAGTGCCGAGGCCCACTCAATAAAAGATGTGTCTATGCTATGAAGAAGGATTTTGTCCTCCATTCATTTCTGCAGCCCACACTTCCTGCAGAATTCTTTTGAAGCCTTTGTTTTTCCACGGCTGGGGATCAACCCAAGTAACCTGTGCATGTGCAGTTAGCACTCTTCCATGGAGCTACACCTCAAGTCCCAGAAGTCTGCTTTTCATGATATTATCTCTAGTTGCCCCCGATGAGCCAGAGGACTGTTTCCATTTCCTTCCCTTTCTCCCTCATCAAATGTGGTAGTTTTTCTATACTTCCTTATACTCGACCCTTCACTTAAGTAAAATGGTTTTCAGATTAAGATTATTGAATTTATTCTCCCAGAATATTTAGTGCACAATAATTCTAGCTAAAAGTTAAGAAGTACATAATAAAAAATCACTACTGTACCATGGGCAGCCAGTACAGCAAAGGTCCTATTGCATAGATGACTATAAGGACGAAAATGCAAGATATTAGACAAGCCACCTGTAAAACACAAGACAGACAATAAAAGAAAGCCTTGAACTCTATTGTTATTTCAACACTATGAGAATAGGGGAAGAAATAACATGTTGGCATATCACTGTTAAATTGTATGGAGTGTCCTTATCTATGTTTTGCAGTCTAGAGACATCAAATGTAACAGTTGACAAACTGGGGCAACCAAATGAAGTCAGTGATGAGACAATTACACACACACACACAAATAGGACACCATTTGCTTACATAACTCATCATAGCAGTGGCTAGTTGCAAGTGAGAGTAAGTCCTCTGAGGAAAGTCATACACCCTGACTCACTGTTTTCTAGAGAACCATGTGGGGTAACCACTGAAGAATTCATAGCCTGGTGTTTTCCTCTCCTCCTCTCCTCTCCCTCTCCTCTCTTCTCCTCCCCTCTCCTCTCCCCTCCCCTCCCCTCCTCCCCTCTCCTCTCCCCTCCCCTCCCCTCCTCCCCTCCTCTCTCTCTCTCTCTCTCTCTCTCTCTCTCCCTCCCTCCCTCCCTCCCTCCCTCCCTCCATCAGCTGTTCACAAGGAACTCTGGCAATGAAATGGTCAAAAGGGGTTGCAGGAGCAGTCTCTCTGTTGCCAGTGCAACAGACTTCATTTTGCTAATCCCAAGAGTATTAAGATCATGTTCTACCCAAGGAGCTTGCTGACAAAGGTCAGTAGGAACCACCTGCCTCCCACAGCAATGACAGAGAACCTCATTTCCCAGAAGCAGAAGTCCCTGACTCCATAAAAACATTTAGCCAAACTGCCACCCTAAGAAGCCTGTCACTGGTCCTCAAAGATACCTAAAACATTATTGTGAAGACATCAGAGGGAATCTTGTACTGGAATGGCTTAAATGTAAATTAAATACATGAATAATTTCAAAATCTGACAAGGACAAAGGAAGATCTCCAACAATGCTGTTGGGGTTACAGTATAAAGCAAATGTGTGGGACACAAAACCACCATGATATGAGAAACTAGACACAAAAGACACAATTCTGCACCAATGACAATGTTTAAAAAGAGAAAAATTATAGGATGATAAGGGATAAAGTAGTCACCAAACATTAAATATAATTAGGCATAGGGAAATGCCCATTTTGGAAATTCTTCTAACTCCTGTCAAAAATTGCTCATGGTGGGAAAGCGTGAATTTAATAGGAAGATAAGGCTTATTGCACAGTAGCAAGACATGGGCAGGGACAATCTCTCTTCCCTTGTTTGTCCCTCTTCTCCCTCTCATCTCTTTCTCTAAAGGAGGTCAAGTGACAATCTTGTTTTTTAATAGTTTTAAATACTGACAATAAGCCCAGTGTACAAGCGTTGTATTTCTAAAGAATTGCTTACTTTTTGAGTTTTGTTCTATTTATTAACCATGTGTTTCTTTTTTCTCCTTGCACTGAAGTAGAGCATGTATCACTCTTCTAATTTTAGATACTGTCTCAGGTTTAAAGAGGAGCATTTGGTCCCAGCACTGGCGATGGAGATCTTGTGAACACATATTCAATTCAATTTGGCATTGTTCAAAGTGAGGCAGTTCAACAAGCTAGAGATTTCAAAGCTATGTTTTATAGTTCCCAGTCAGATTATAATCTACTAAGGATGCTATAAAACTACACTGCAACTAAATAATAGTAAATAAAATGCTCATCCTTGAGACTCTTCACTAGTAATATTCAATTTGTTTGCTTTTCCTGTCAGAATGGAAACAGCATAAGTAAGTCTTCAATTTTTTGGAAAGATATAGGTTATAAATACTGAAGGCAAGTAAATACTGAAGGTAATCATCAGCTGTGTTTTCTCTTCAGTACTTTCCATGTCATGCTGACTAAAGGCCTCCTGATAATTTCTGACTTAAATTTTGGGGGGGGGGTGGTTCGAGACAGGGTTTCTCTGTGTAACAGCTCTGGCTGTCCTGGAACTCCTTTTACAGACCAGGCTGGCCTGGAGCTCAGAGATCCGCCTGCTTCTGCCTCCTAAGTGCTGGGATTAAAGACATGAGTCACCACACCTGGATTGTCTTAAAATTTTAAGTAGTCATGTCTAAGAGTCAAGTATTCATAAAAGCTAATGAAATCTTTGTTTTCTTCATTTTATTGCAAGGTTCTATACATATATGTACGTGTATATATGTAAACATTACATGTACGTTCTGTTTCAGAGGGACAGAGGGAATAAAGAAATGTAGCATTCATTTGAGCTGTCAGTCTCAGTAGCACCTTTCTATATTGCTCATTACAAGGATGACCACTAAAGGCATTAGTGTCCTCCATAGACACACAATACTTGATTGGAAAGAAAAGGAGACGAAAATTGTTTGCTTCCTAAGCAGAGGTTGAATGATACACACATGTATGAAAGGTGGTGGAATTGTAAAAGAGATAGGAAAGGGAAGGGAGAAAGAATGAAAGGCAACACAGCTAAATTAAGAAGGCCCTGAAGAAGACCCAAGCAATGAATCAACTTCTGGAAGAACAAAAGCAATACAGTTTTGCAAACTAGAGCCCAGCGGCAATCTTAGCATTGCAGAAAAGCATGCCAGCTGCGGTTTTCAGTTGTGGCTGCACAGCCTCTGCAGCAGATGCTGTCTGGCATCCCTCATGGTTCTGTGATCTTCCCGAAGACCCTGAGAAGCATTGATGTGTCTCCGCTGTTGGAAGTGAAGAGAAGCTTGCAAGAGAGGGAACCAGGGGACACTGAGACCCTGCCCAGAGTTAACATGCCAGTTCAGAAAGAAGGGAAGTAAGAAACAGTATTCATTTGTGTTGTTTGTCTTTTTCTCCCAAAGGCTGTCTTAGATCCACAGGCCTTGGGCATCACATATAAATAAAACAGCAAAGGGCACTTCCACATATGGAGGATGACTGTGTGTCTGTGTCTTTGACATCAGCACTTGCTACTAAATGATCAATATCCTTCGTTGTTTCTTTTTTTATTGAAACAGTTTAGTTTTTCTGAAACACTAAAGTTGTTACCTTCTACTCACTCACATAAAATAGTCCTATATTTTCTGCCCAGTCATCACCATACTAGCTCCTAAGTACTTGAAATGTGACTAGTCCACATTAAGATTAGGCTACACATGTAAAATACATACTAGATTCCTAAGTTTTATTGAAAAAATATTGTGTACAGTTCTTTAATCCATGTTGAAATTACAATAATTTTACCCCACCAGGTCAGTTAAAATGTATTCAAACCAACTTTAATAGGTTTTCCTTTTTTTAAGATGTCACCACTGGATAATTTAAATTATGTGGGTAGTGCATATTATATTTCTGTTCAACAGGACTTCTCCAAAGTATGTGATCAAATGCCTGATTTTAAATAGAACATTTCCAACAACAATGTACTACAATACATTTAAATTTTATTAATGACAACATAAACGGCCTTTGTTCTGTCTGGTTAAAACTCACAGCTGACAATGGGCACTTTTCAACTTGTTTTTTAGAGACAGGGTCTCTCCTTGACTAGTGAGCTCCTGGAATCCTCCTGTCTTCTCCTCCCTGGCACTGGAATTATGAGTATGTGCCACCATGCCCAGACTTTTAAAGGTAGTTTCTGGGGATGAAAACCCAAGTTCTGGACTTCCCATGCCAAGCACATTACCAGATGAGCTATCTATCTCTCCAGCCCAGGGATCCAGTTTGTGACGGTTCACCCTCAAGAACCTCATTATCGGCTGCAAATTTTATGAGACAGACCAAAGGCTGTTTATGTTGTCATTAATAAAATTTAACTGTACTGTAGTACATTGTTGTTGGGAATGTTCTATTTAAAATCAGCATGCAAACACATAGAAAGGCAGGCAGGCAAAGCTAAGCAACTGAGATAACTTGTCTAAGAAACCACTAGAGTGGGTAGGAAAAACAATTTTCTGAATTGTGCAAAGACTTTTCTGGGGCTGAAGTGTTTTCCTCTTAGCAGGAAGATCACTCTATTGCTGTTGTTTGTAGAGCTGGGGACTGAATCCTGTGCATGGTAGACAAGTGCTCTATTATTAGCTACATCTTCAGCCTTAACTAGAGAACTATCATGGTGAAGAATTCCTATGAGAATATTGAAACTGTTGTAAGTGGTAAAGAAATTAATACAGGTAATATGCTTATGACTTGTGCTTTCAGGAGTTGTAATTAGCTTAAAAGTTGAAGGGCTTTTTGTGTTCCAGGTTAATTTAGTGGGTATTCATGCCAGGGCCTAGGAGAGGCAGAACCCTTGAAGGGCCCGCACTGTGAAATCATGATGTGTGGAGACATGCTTTCACTCCTCTCCTGTTTAGAGTCAAACTTTGAAGACATGGTTAGAGCTCTTTTCAAGCCACAGCAGTTATCAACTATACCTATACACACTTAGTGATTACAACATAAAAAGTCTGAAATGGATACTACCAAAGCACTCTCGATTTGAGTGTGCACATTAGTTCAGATTCAATTCCTGTGCAATCAGAAACAGTTTCCACATCAGCAAGCAGGGTAGCCTGAGACTATTCTGCTGTTGGGCTTTGGTGTTTTGCTAGGTTCATTTCTTTTAATATTTGATGCATAAATTGCATGAAAAAATCTTTATTAAGTAAGATGTCTTTATAAATGTTCTCTTGCTCTAATCATTCAAACATGTGACCTCCAGAAGGAATCGCTGTGTCCTTGTCCTAGTAAATGATGTCATTGACCTGCTCAGATTTTATAATTAGGACAATTTTCTAAAGTTTTCTTCCTCTTAAACATTCAATGTTGAAAGCTACAGAGACTGATCAGAATTTTCTTGTCACTAAAGCAGTGATAAGCAATGCGTGCAAAGCACCTAAGGCCAGAGACAGCACAGATCATGGTGGGGCCACCTCAGGGCTGTACGTCAGCCTCTTTGTCCATAAGACGGTGACACCATAGCTTTCTCAAGCACCTTCAACAAGTGTCAATTTTACACTTTTCTTATGCATATTCTACAATTATAAACTATATTATTAAATATAAGCTAAATAAACTTCTAATAAATGTTTTAATTTTCACATAAAATAGTTTATAGGTTCTCATTCAATTCTTATTTTATTCTAGCTGTTACTGTTAATTTCTAATGATATACATAAATTCTCTTGATGGGTCACTAGTTAAGAGTGCAGTCACTCTGAGTTTAAATCCTAGCTTTGCCACTCCCTATGTCTGTGGCCTGGTATTCTATTGCAGTTTGTAGAGAAGCTCCTTACGCCAGGAAGTAAACAATCCAAAGTAACTTCAGGAAGTCCCTGAAACTAGCCAGATTCATTGGGCCCCTCCTTCCCAAGAGTAAATAATAAAAGTTGCAGAAGTCAAGTGCAGACAAGCAAAGACTCGAAGAATACAGAGACCAGCCTGGAAAAAGCAGAAACCAGCTACTTGAAGAGGTTTAGAGCACATAAGGCACATGGCACTCTCCAACCTGTTGAGCTGCCTGCAGGCTGTGCGTGTGCTCCCAGCTCCCAGCTCCCAGCTGTTGTGAACTATCACCATGCTGGGGTGGGCTTTGGTAGCACATCTGTCTTTTAATCATTTCTGCTCTTGAAGTAATCCCTCACTCATATTATTTTATGTAACCCCAATAAAACTCACTAGTTCCCCAAGTTGGAACTAGATGTGTGTGTTGGGTCTCCCCAGGAAAAAAAAATTGTCACACAACACCTGGGTCAATTAGTTCAACTTTCCCTCAACTTTTCACATAGAAACAGAACAATTTTACGTCTTGCAATGAGTTGCCTAAAAGATTGAGTAAAGTAAGACACCCAGTGCCTGACGCATAACTCAATACTGTTTCTACCACCATCAGTACCATCATCTCTATCATCATCATCATCATCCTGCCATTGCAGCATAATGCCGAGTATACAGCAGGCTTGCAAAAACACGGATCAATTTGAGTTCCTAAAATATATATAAAACAATTGTTTCTTTAACCCCAAATATTCACGTATATAGAATGGCACTGTGACACATTTGCTCACTGTTGTACATAGAATGTTAGTGTCAAGGACTGATTCTGCATAGGCTTGGTTTTATTTTATATCAAGGAAGAGAACAAAACAGAAAAACAAAGTCACCCAGACTGTTTAGGTTAACTGAGATACCGCTAGAGGGAGCCCTGGCTTCAAGATTGCTAATAATAACACTGCCACCAGTGCAGAATTCAGCAGTTTGTTCCTTGAATCATTGAGCCTGTGGGAAAGTCATCATTGGGAAGGATAAGAAAAAAAGGGGGGGGATAGATAAAGGGAAATGGGGAGCGTGAGAGGGAGGGAGGAAGGGTTTCTAAAAGTTACTTAGAAAATACAAATTAGCACCATTTTCCAGGCTCAATACATCTCTCTTCTACTCTGCAAAGGGAGTGGTGGTCCCACAGGCCCTTTCCCTGAAGAATAGTTGTTACCTGTGTCTTTGCTCCTGTGCTGTATAGACCAGCTGTCCTTCCCATGGCAGCAGCACTTGGGATACAGAAGAAAAATGAAGGGATCACATTGCTGAGGCCGTGGGCCAAAAATTCCTGCAAGATTAGTTATGGGAGAACAGAACATTTCTTTATCACAATCCCCTTCTATGGTCCCAGGTATTGCTTTGTCAAAGAATGAAGCTCCTTTATTCAGTTCCAGTCTCCTCATCAGTAGAGATGTAACAATTTATGATACAAGTAGCTAACATTCACTGATGGTTTCCAACCCTCCAAAACACTCTTTCAACTCTTACAAGAAGCTCCTGCGGACATTCTACTTACTTACGATTTCAATTGTCCATTCTAAAGTGTAAGTTGTCCCAGTTGGGTTTCTGTTCCCACCCTCTTCCTCAAAGACTTCTGTCTACCTAACTCCAGTGGCTACTTCTTACCTTACCTGGTATATAGAAGCATTTGCCACAGTTGCTTCTTAAAAACTCCCTTCAATTGGTCCCTAGGACCTCACACTCCATGTTTCCCCCTACTTCTCTGGCTGTCACTTCTATTTTTCTTTTGTGTCTACATCTTAACTACACAGATATAGACTGGCAACTCCCACATTTACAATCTTCAGGGTGGACTCCTCCTGAACTTCACACTCCTATATCCAGCCTGCTATTTGGCATCTACATAGTTAATGGGAACTCAGTAACTGGTCTATAGGGCTATCCCATCCCATTCACGCCCTCCCGTATCTAGCCCTCAAACTGTACGGTCGGTCATTAATGACTCTCTAGAACCTATATATCCACATGTGCCCTTCCTCACCAGGGCCTGCTCAAGTCATCATGTTTCTACTGGATAAATAAAAACTCCTTCTAACAAGTTGCTTGCCCCTACTGGCATCAGTTATTGTAAATAATTTTCCCTGGCCACAGAGAGATGTGATTCTTACAGGAAAATGTAGATAGCAAATAGACAGACTAAGACATCAGGTAGAGAAGGGTGTGGAGAGGCCTGAATTTGAGGAGTGGAAAACAGAAGTCTTCCTGGGAAGTGAGGATCTCAATGAGCAAGTTGTACAGATGTGTGAGGGGACAGGATTCACTGGAAATAGAGCTGTGAGTGCAAATTCCTCCACTAGTGAGTTCGAAGGCAATATCAAAAGTATGGCAAGGACATATCCTAAGAAACCAGACAAGAAATGGGATCCTGGGGGCATACAATTTTTTCACCATGGTAATGAGGTCTGTGATTTGAGTATGAAAGCAGGAAGGCCCTGAAGCTTGTGAGTGGAAGAAAGCAGTTTTTATCCCTGGGATGTATAGCAGGGCTTAATATACACATATACAGAGAGAACTGAGGTTAGACAACCCCAGCGTGAGTTCTGTGTGCAGGAACAATGTGCTTGTAGGCAATACACTGAAGCTTCTCTTCAGGCCCACAGAGCCATGTGGGGACTTGGGACATGAAAAGGACACAGGGAGAAACAAATTCAGTAAGCAGGTATGTACGAACTCTCGGGTATTTAGGAACAGGACTTCACACCCTGGAATGTGTTGATATTAGTATTCTACTTTGAAATCCCTAAGAATTCAAGGTTATCTATTGTGAAATGATAAATATGCTTGGATTCTCTCCTAAAATCAAGAAAGAGCACAAAGGTATAGGTCTCTAAAATGTATTTAAGGGTCAGTGAGATAACTCAGCAGGGGAAGACACTTATGACCAAACCTGATGATCTCAGTTCAACCCCAGGAACCACACGGTTGTCCTCTGGCACACATGCAGATAAAAGGAAGGAATGAACAAATTAATGTAGTATAAAGTTGGAAAGCTAAACTCTGAGCTTCCTGGGAATGACTCAGAGACTTTGCTGTTTTGTTCTGCCCATTCTTGCTACACATTTAGAAAAGTTGCATATTCAAACATTTGACATATCCAGTACTGAAGAGTCCATGGAGCAGTAAAACACCCTGACTAGAGAGGGGCTGAGGGCACACTCCACCTGGTTGTCATCAACCGAATATTTGAACTTCTTGGCAGATCCTTGAGCTAGAGACAGCGAGGCCACGTAGCCTACAAGTGCAACTCCGAAAGCTTCGGTGAGCACTGCGGAGAGGATGTTCATTGGTGGAGCACGGGGAGGAGGGATCCTAAGGAGAGGAAAGACTATATTGAGGCTACAAACCTTCCCGTCATTTCTGTAACAACTTGCCATGGATCCCACAGCACTGTTTCTAAAATTTACAAGGAATGCCTAACCCACCCCAAGGGAAAAAACTAAACATCCTTTTCCAGAGAAGTCCTGTGTTCTCACCATCATTTAGTCAAAAAGCAAAATTGTAAGGAAAGACCACAGGGAGAGACTCGTGCATTTAACTGACATTCATTTCAGGGAATTTAGGTCATACCACAGAAATTCTGACTTGACAAAAAGTTTCTTGTAGGAAACAAAAGCATATCTGGGCTTTCCTTTCACTTGGACTTTTCCAAATATTTATTTGGCTGGCACTGAAGCTGTGTTTCCTAACTAGAATGCTGCAGAGTTTCAGGCAAACACTAGCTTACTTTACGTCGGCTAATCTCCAAATATGTTGTTGACTTCATTATGGTAATTACATTTTTAACTCAGCCCTTTCATGAGACAGTTAATCATGGCTTACACAAACTAGAGAAAATATGTAGGAAGATCTCATCTACTCTCTGTAGCAAAACAGACCACACTTAGCTTCATTTCAAAGAAATCTTTAAAACATTTCTCAGATAATACCCATTCATTATGTCTTATTGTCCCTTGAAAACCATGTAAGCTTAATGACCATTCATGTATCCCTTGTCATTTTTGGAGATTTATCTCTGCCACACACACCCCAAAGAATCCCTGTGGTAAAAAGAAAATGGGGGGTGATTTCATACTTGTTGGTATCTTACTATCTAGTGTGTGAGTAGAATATGGGCTCTTTCTCATTAACTGTTGCATTTAATTTTCCCAACAACCCCAAATCAAGTACACCATAATCACTGTGGGCATGAGAAAATGTTTGGAGGGAGGTTACGAGGAGAACAGCTGAGAGAGGGAGAGGGGGGTTGTTTCGGTCTCAGCTCTGGGTTCTCAAAGCCATGGTTTTTTGCATTTTCTTAAGAGGTTTCTGAAAAAGGAACTCAAGTGAGGGTGAACATGAGTAAGTGGAGAAGGACAATAACTTTTGTCACCCACTTACTACCCCTTACTCCCAAAACACATTTTTATGACCACACATCCTAAGACACATATTATACAAACCTTGAAATGAAGAAATGGAACTTTTATTTCACTAAAATTAAAAGTGATTCATTAATAAAAACAGGACCGAAGAAGAAACAATGAGCTAGCTTTCAAAGGAAAAACAGAGGAACCTTTAGGAAAGCAGTCAATTGAGGACACCCTCCTTTGCTTGCATCTACAAGGATTTCTTAAAATTCATCTTTTTTAGTTACTGAGACTTTTTCTATTTCTCTGTTATAAAGGGATAAAAAATAAAATACTTAAGACCCAATAACTCTTAATTTTGTCTCAAAATTTATATGTGTCTCTGTTATGTAGCCCCTAAGAAGGGAAATTCCTAAAGTATTCAGTTTCCTCTGCTATATCTTGTCAGCCTGTTTTTGGAAGGACCTCTATCCTTTCACTGGGCTAACCGTGTAAAACAGTCTCTTGAAGTCTTGAGGAACACTTGAACGAGGTGGGGAGCCAGGCCCGCACTCCTTCACCCTTCTCTATAATTCTCTACTTAGCCTGTGGGCTTCCAATTCCACAGGATGCTTGTTTATATTTATCATAACTTAAGTGAAATAAAAAGGGCCACAAGAACATATGCGGCTAAAGAATTAAGTTGGGCCAAGTCCAGGAGTTTGCAAATTTAGTAACCTCTATTATTTTTCTAGCCATATCTTTATAAATACTTTTGGAATCTTTTACTTGAAGAAATGCTGCATAAAACAATTACATGATTATTTAACAACAGGTTAGCTTATAATCTAGAAAATTACTATTTTTCTCCACATGTTGATTTAGACATTTATATTAAAAATTAATTCGAATTTTGCCTCATAAAGCCACAAAAAGAAATGAAATACATACGTACCCAGGCCTGGGCCCATTGAACATCAAAAACAAACACTCAGATAAACACATATTAAAAGAAAGGCTACATTACCCATTTGGAATGTGTCCAACTACTTCTAATCCATATGTGTTTTCCATGTTGGTACAATAGCAAGCAAATGAGGCAGCAATGATCTGTGTGGTTCAATTCGAAAAAGAAAGAAAGACATATATATCTCTGTGTGTATGTTACTACCTGACTTTCAAACACCAAAGGCCACTTAAAATACATATTATATGTTCCATAATTATTATTTATTACTGAAGTACTAAGAGTTAAGCCAGGAGTGGTATTGCATGTCTGTAATTCTAGCAGTCATGATGCCAAGGCAGGAAGATCTCAAATGTGAGAGCAACCTGGGGTATACAGTAAGGTTTTAAAAACTGAAAAATAAAATAGGGGGAGAGGTAAGGAGAAAACGGTTTACAGGCATGAGGCAAGTTTGGTTAGGAAGCATTAATTTCTGATGTCTTAGAACACAACTGAATTGATGATGACTAACCATATATTTTAAATTCCCTGGGGAAAGGATTTGGAATGTTCCAGTACAAAAGAATGCAAAATAACCAAGCCAATGGATATGCCAATGATTCTGATCTGATAATTAAACAGTAGATACAGTGTCACAATGCCACACTGAACTAAGTATATACAATCACCGATCAGGTGTCAAGAACAACTCTAAAATATTCAGGATGTTCCTCTGAGTTTTTAAAGAGCAGAATGTACAATCTCATGGATTTTCTAACATTCTGCTTTGTACCCACACAATTATTTCCCCTTTTGAAGGCACAAAAACATAAAATGCAGTTGTGTGTGTGTGTGTGTGTGCGCGCGCGCGCACGTGCACACATGCAAGCTTGCATTTCAGCCTACTTTTCTCTCATGATATGAAGGAGTACTTCTTGAGAACATTATTTGCCCTTTGTGAGAGCAACTTCTCAGGAGCATAAAGTACTGTCCAATATTCTTACTCTGCTAATAGTAAATGCTGATTTACAGCTTCCTTAGTTATTTTTTTAAATTTGCGGCTGTATCTCTTTCATGCCGTAAAATATGCCAGTTCCCAGCCTGGTGGACAAAATAACTTTCAGATGGCCCTCAGGAGGCTCAGATATCTTTCTTTGATATTATTTAGATATTCGAACAAGGTCACTTGGTCTGTCTACAACCAAGTTCATGTACTTGTAGAGGACCAAAGTTGGTGTTTTTTCTATTTTTTTTTTTTTGGGCTATTCCTCTTTTTCATTGAGACAGGGTCTCTCAATCAAACCCAGAGCTCCTCTATATGGCTAGTCTGGATGGTCACTTTGTCCTGGGGATCCCCTATTGCCATCTTCCAATGGTATTATTACAGGGAGCTTGCTTCGCCTGGGTGACCTTTATAAGAGTTTAGGGTTTCTGAGCTCTAGTCCTTACCTACACAGCTAACCAAGAACTCTCTTCTCTGACCCACAATCATCTGTAAGCACAAGCCAGAGCCAGGACAGCTTCTGCTGTGTTGGCCATGCCCCTGAGCATATTCCGCCCATTTTCACATTCTTTGATCTACTAATGTTTTTAGTAGCTATGTGATTTCCAGTTGCCTGACATGAGCTACCTTCTTACAGTATGTGAATTTCTGCTCCCTGAGAACACAGGCTAAGGCCTTTAGGTGGAGAGCTTAGGTTAGATGATTTGAAAAGATGCTGATGAGCACAGTTTGTCATTTCTGACCTATTACTATACAATTTCATGACCCACCATATTGGATTGTAGTTAAATTATATTTGGGATCCTAAATACAAATGGCAAAGAACATCACCAAATTGGGCTACTATAAGAATAACCATTGGGATAAAGTAAAAACTAGTTTTATCATCTAAAAATGAAACTTGAGAAATCTTCTGTGGACAAATAGAAATGAAACCATAAAAACAGTCTGGAATGATTCATCTTCTTAAAATGGACACATTAATCATATACATAAAGTACAAATTTCCCATAAGCACAATCAGAGAAAAAGCATAATAGAATTACACTATCAAATAAGGAACATGTAACAATCACTGCTCAATAATAAGTAGCATATTTTGTAGTTATGCTTCTACTATGCCTTTGAATGATGTTTAACTGAACTTACAAAAGTTTCTAAAACATCAAATGGGCTTAAAAGGAAAATGCTAATTTGGATTTAAGAAAGAAAAATCAAGAATAAACTACATAAATATTAATGTGATATAATAGTAATCTCAAAGTTACTGAAATGGTTGTGGAGACAGCACCCTGCTGTATTTCTATAACATGACTTAATTCTTTACCTGTTGAGTCCACCAGTTCCTCATTAGTATTTTTTAATATTATAGGTATATATAGGCCAGCACTGCTATTCACATGGGCAGGAAGGGATTCTGCCCCAGATGCTAAAGATAGTTCTAATATGGCCCTCCTCCAACTGTCACATTCCCCCAAATTGGAAGCATTGTAAGAAAAAAGAAGAGGTGCCCAACTCAAATTCTACACTTGCTTCTGCTCTATGCTGCAGATGCACAGCTATCTATCACCCGTTGCCTATACAGCACCTAGCCTGGATGCAGCGGTCTTCCCTACCAGAGTGATCCAGGGAAGACCAAAGGGCAGTGGTGACGGTACAGTGGACATGTCCAAACTTGACACTGGTTCAGGGATATCCATGTGTGCATATAGGATACCTTATGAGCAGGTTGAAGCTGGTGTGGGTGAAAAAGAGCAATGGATTTCCTCATGCTGTCACATTCTCCCAGACTCACAGGAGTCTATCATAACCTGGTTTCCAAGGTCATTGCTTAGATACAGTAGTCAAGTTAAAAGGAACAAAACAAAAGAAAAACCAGAACCTGCTCTCTTTAACATTTTGTTCTGGGCCTTTTCAGTATTTGGGCTTGCACTGGTGCTTCTGCCAAGGGTCTTGAAAGTCCATGCCATCTCCAGAATACCTGTCATTTTAGGAATTATCCTTACAAACTGCTTAGAGAAGGCCAGTTGCTTTATGACTAGATTAGGGGCCTGTCCCCCTAAGGTGATTTTCTAATTTTGGTTTATAAAACTTTTAATATAGTTTTCCAAGATGCAATAGGCATTTCTTAACATCTCCATATTTGAGATAAGATGGCATGGATCATGCCATAACATTTCAATCCACTTATACCACTTATAATATACATGAAAATCCAAGGACCATTTGAAGCTCAGTAATGTGCACTGTGGTCATGTCATCATGATTATTAAGTGCTGCTGGGAAAGGCTCTTAAAACTTCAATCCTTAGAAGTAAGATAGGATGTATTTGCCCAGTCACAAACATATTCTAAAGAAACAACCCTGGCCAATGGAAATCCTGAGCATCTTTTCAAAGGGGTAAAATTGGTTCAGTAACAGGAAAACCAACAAACCTTCCAATCACCAATGAGTATTTGGCACATAATAACTGGGTGTGTGTCACAGAGGTGTGATGGCAATAGCATAGGGTGTCATATTTTGTTACTTTGCATAAAATCATACCCAATATCATTGAGACTCACTCTTAGATATATCTCTTATAAGATCACAGGCGATATGTTCTCTTATTTTTATAAAAATTACAAGCATATGAGAAATGCTGTATAAATTGAAAACGTATGTCCTTCCTTTTTAAAATTATTGAATCAAAATATTTCTTACATTAATGTATATCCATGCAAATTAGTCTTCCATTAATGAGACACAGGAATGGCTATGGGTTACTGCAGAACATACAGTAAACATCTGCAGACTTTACCACCCCCCTATAAAAATCTAAGTGTTGTTGATTGCATACTTACCAAAACTAAGTCGACAGGAAGAACAACTTTAATTTTTCGTTTAAACTGTTCATTCAGCTCTTTAACGAGAACAAGGACAACAATGCTCAGCAAGGACAAGAGCAGCGCTTCCAGCTGAACAGACTTGATGTTCTCAAAAACATATGCATAAATCTACAGAAATGAGAAAGCGGCAAAATCAGGGTTGCCACGAAACCCCAGAAGGCAAAGCTGGCCCTAAATAAACTCCATGATGCTTTATTTTAAAAATCATTATGACCAGAGGGTGAAGAATAAGTGCTGGAAGGGGGAAAGCTCTTTTTTCATGCATAAAATTTCTTTGTCCTTGGTTCATCCGTCAAACTCAGGTCAGTCTCTTACTACATAGAACACTGCTAAAGAGAATGATTTCCCTGGCTCCTTTTTTGACACCTAGATGGGCAAAAGGCCCCACCTTTTAAATCCCACCACTCTTCCAGATTTAACAGGAACATACACACATATGTCAAGAGCCATATTTAATTGGCATCAGACACTTGGCTATTATAATCTGTTACCATGTTCTCAGTTACTCAGCATTTATTTATTTATCACCACATATGTATGGCAGTGCTAGGTTAACAATGGTGAAACAGTCTTAGTATTCATAGACTTCACCATACAGTATATGGATTACTACTAAATTAATCAATTAGTACAACATGATGGTAATAATGAGGATTGGATACCTGAAGGATATGAATAAATGTATCAGCAATGAGGGTTGCCCTTCCAAAACCAGTAATAGGAACTGAACAGGCTACAGACAGGAAGGTGTGGAGGAAGGAGTTTATGGAAATATTTTGCATTAAGGTCATATTATAAAACTCAGAGCATAGACTGTGATGAAAGCAGTGCATGACTTCAGGAAAACATATGGTCCAGAAACCAATACAGGACTGGAGACTCTTATTCAAAAGCCCAGAACCTTCATGAGAAAGCCTGAGCAATGGCATGTACCTATCAGCTACACACTAGAAAGGTAGACAGGAGGACCACAGGAGCATTCTGGACAGCCAGCCTAGACATGCCTCTGAGTTCCAGATCCAGTAAGAGACCCTGTCTCAAAAATTAAGGTAGACATCAACTGAAGAAGACAGCCTGATACTGACTTCTGACTTCCAGATGCCTGAACACACACACACACACACACACACACACACACACACACACACACACACACAAACACACGCATACTCTACCATCAACCAAGTTATTTGATTCTATGAAGAAGGTATAATAAAGCACATTAATATTAGATACTCAATTATATTAATCTCAGTTGGCAGAAAAATACATTTAGAGTAAAGTCAAGGGAAAGAATAAGATTAAAACTTTCTAAACCTTCAACTAAGTGCCAAAAACATTTATCTCAATAATTTAGTCTTTAGGTATTTGCCTACATGCCAGGTCTACGTGCATAGGCACAGGACCTATTTTAAGGAATTCTAAATTGTGTGTGAAGGAGAAAAAATTACTAACTCAAATCTAACCTTTGCTCTATATAAACATTTGATAGTAAGCAATCTAATTTGAATATTGCTTTTAATTTGATTTTTCATGTCTATAAACTAATTTTCCCCCAACTTCTTGAACATAACCTGGACTGTACATACTGAGCTTGGTGACTAACTTTCTAATAATTCTGACAAAGAAAATGTAGTGAAACATATGAAAACAACTCGGGTAATGTCAGGTTAGCCAAACTGCACTTCAGATAAAGCAGTAACAACAGCCATCCATTGTGCAATCAGACATACTTAGAAATATGTCATAGAGCACAGAGCAGGTAGTTTCGCTTGTTACTGTTTATGCCAATATGCTTATTCAGCACTATTTGGGAAAGAACTTGACACCACACTATCATTGCTACATGAGGCATAGAAAATATTTTTCCTTATCTGTTACTACATGTTATGGGTAAAAGTTAGGTCACAGCATCCCTATAAGAACTGTAACTCCAGTTTCAAGGAATCTAATACACTATCCTGGCCTCAAAAGACACTGCAGGTACATAGGGCTCAGATATATACTCAGGCAAAAACACCTATGCACATAAAATCAAAATTGAATTAAATTCATTAATTCAAAAAACTTTCAGAAACATAAAATTTTCCTTAGTGTGATATATTCCAATGAGGATGGGTATAAGCAGAGTGTCAAGAAATTCTCTCAAAATACATGTCTCTGCCCAGTGGTTCAAGGATAATTGAGAATATTCTTGAGATTATTCTTCTAAGAGCCAATCATCCAAACGTCTCAAAGCACTTGCATTATTCTTTATGCCTTTCTCCCATGATATTAAAAGTATGCCATGACAATGAGGCTCTCAATCCATACCAGATTTTTATGTAATGTGCATTTTGAGAACATGTGTTTGCAGTAATACAAATGACCACCCCAGAATGAAAGGAATGAGAGCCCCCTCGGGGATTTTATTGTCTGTCTGGATTAAACTACAGCTCGTCAAACAAAGCATGTCTTACAAGATGCTCCAGAAGAACATAGTGGGGGGGGGGTAAAGACTCATTAAAACAAGAACACAGGCATGAAGGCCGTAATAGGAGAACAGGCTGGGAGGAGTCCTAATGACTGTCATGTGGACCCACTGAGAGAAGTCACAAGCTAAATTAGCTTGTGGGATATGGGTGACACACGTAGATGCTGCAGAGCTGGAGGTAAGGATAGACACAAGCATTTCTATATGATCACTCAATAGTGCTCTGGGTATCCTCAACACATGTTAAATTTCTTTCTACTCTAAGTTCAATTATCTAAATATGCTGGTACACAGTCTCCACACCAATTAAAAATTCCTAAAGGGATCATCATTGGCTTCTAAGAGGTCAGAGAGGCAACAGTAATGCTGTACAAATTAATATCTAAGCTTGTTAGAACTGACCAATCAACTTAATAAACTAGTTCAGCACTTCTGAGACCATAATACTAGTTTGCTAATGGCATAAAGCATAAATCCATACAAATATACATAAACAAATTCATTGTGAGAAAGTTCAGAGAATGGAAATTACTCATTCATGGTATATACATGAATTTAGTTTATTTAGATGTGATATTTTATGAAACACTACATAAGTACTTTTACATACACAAACACACATGTTTTTAGCTGAGTTGGCCTTTTTTTGTAACTTTGTCTATTTTTTCAGTGATGGATTCTCAACTGCTTGAGTAGTATTTGAGAGAAAATAACACTACTGAGTGAATTAACATTCTGTTCTAATATGGCAAAAGTAACAATAAGCCTCTGTATGGGACAGAGTAGAGCATGACTAAGATTCTGAAATAGGAGAGGCTGCATGGTATATAAGTGCCTTCTTTTCTCACTGTGGAAACCTGGGCTGTCTCTGATGTAGCTACAGCTGCATCTACTCATTCTTACTGAGGTTCTATTTTGTGGGAAGCAATGAGATAAATACTACAGTTACCACCACAGAAAATTCCAAGTAATCTATCTTTCGTATGGTCAATCTGATCTAAATAATCAGGTGTTTAGCAACTAAAATTGTGTAAGAATGAAGTAAAATTGAAGACAGAAAAAGCTCACAGTATTAGTGAACTAAAAAGCAAAAGGCCTCCCTGAAGTTACATCGACTCAGTTGATTTTCACAGTATAATAATGACTGAGGCTCTAAGATCCTGCCTAGAGACACACTCATACAGGAAGAAAATTCCAGAATGCCTACTTACAAAGCTTCATGACCCAAGGACAAAGATCTCACGTGCTTAGAAAATATCAAGGTGTTACATCATGAACTGTTTTTTCACTACTCAGTTAGCTAGACATACCTGTCACCCTAGAGTCTCTCCCTCCCTATCATCCTGATTACTACAATAAAGAACACTTGAATAAATATTTTCATGCAAATAAACCCCTCAGTATCATTTATCATGCCTGTGTCATCGCTGTACTCAGGATCCATCATGAAAAAGGAAGAATTTCACCAGGGTAACAGTACTATCAATAAAACCATAAAGTTTTGCTAAATGTCAGCATTCTATTTGAATAATAAGTATAAACTAGTAACTGTTGAACTATGGGTCTTAATTTTAAATATATGATTTTGAGTTACTCATCAACCACAAGGCTAGAACATTTCCACAGGGGAAAAATTCTAACATTCACACATGCTTATTACATGTGCAACCTTTGGTTAGAAAACGCACTTGGCGTAAAGCTTGTATCCACGGATAAGTCTCTCTCTGTTCTCTGCATTCCTCTTGAAAGTCACATTTTCACAACAAAGGTGTATGAACACCTTTTGTAGACATCTGTCCCTAGCCAACCTATCAGGCTACTGCTGTCAAGCAGTGACCCATTTTTCTTTTCATAATACTGCAAAAGATTCTTGTTCATCAGCTTGTATTTGTATCCATTCACCTTACTTCATATTCCTCCTCATGAAGAACAAGGGCAGTTTTTATCAACTGCATCTTCAATGTTTACAGACATGTCAACAAAAGGTATTGAATACATCTGTTCCAGTAGTTTTTAAATCAAGGATGATGCTATTTTCTTCATCATTTTATGGAGCTCAGAAGACCATTTTCAGATTGTTGCATTCTTACTTAAAGCAACAATTACACCATTGGTGTATTTACCTATGAGCCTCAGTTGCCCCAACATGATCCTCTACCACAATTGTTTCCAACCTGATGACATTAGAATCCAAGCTCCTGGTAAGTCCACAAATCCCCCAAAACTCATCTTTCATCATTCTCAAACAAATGTTTAAACAAGTTTCCCTGTTTCTAAGATTTGAATGTCTCTATCAACTTTGCCTACATACCATTACATTATTAAATATTTTAAGATCAGCACTGATAAGCTTCTTATAATTCCTTCCCTCAAAGTAGTGAACACAAATACCAAAAGAAAAGAGAAAAATATTGAATATTAGTCTTAGGCTACATTTTCATTAGTACAAGTAAAGCATCAGAAAGGACAGAAAAACAACATTCTATACATTTTTACATAATTTTTATCAACAATTGTATCTCATTCTGGGAATAAATGCATTTGCTCTTGCTTCAAGGGATAAATGAAGTCTCATGCCAGAATGGGAAGCATGGTATGTCAAGCAGCTAGAAACAACATGGGCATGAAATTCTCTTGAACCAAGCAGTCAGCCAAGCATACCACAGCCCTCATGGCACTCAGCCATCCCTTGTTTAGAAAAATAAGCTTAATTTGAGTTACTTGAGGACTGGGTTTTGTGGCAGGGCATTCTTCAGTGAACTGTGGGGGATGGAAGGTGCTTATCCCTTAACCCAAGATGGTTGAGTTGCAAAAATATTTGCTCTCTGATTTAGAATTTGAAAGTCACCTTTGTTATAAACGTCCATGTAATTGCTCCGTATTCACAATGTCTATCCTTTGCACTGATTAAATCATGCTGAGGATGAGCATTCTGTTTCTCTCCCTTTCCTTGCTCTGTCATTTTTATATATATTGGCATTCGTGCAACTCACAACAGAAACGTCACAGAAAAGGGTCCCACCAAAATGTATTCTTGATTTGGAGTCCCAGAGGGCCTATGTCTTTAAGTAGATTTGTTCTCCAAATATAAACTTCATTTGTACATACTTAGTTGTGATCTCATTCTCTATAAAAGAAAATGTTTTGTTGGCTCTGATTTCCTTCGGACGTTCCGATTCCAATTTATTAACATTCTTGGTTTTTGCCTTTGCAGTCTGTGGACAGCAAACCAGAGAAGCATTGTGCTTGTACTTTAGGGTATAGATATAATGAAACTGTTTTTCATTTCGGGAAGTCTGCATTTCTAAGGCTGGAAGTAAAAACTTCCAAGAAAGGTCACTGGAAATATTGCCAAGTTTGCCTTCTCTCCCAAGTTTAATGCACAGAACTGTGCATAGCCATTTAGAACAGTGCTCATGTAAAGCCAGACCAGTAAAATTAACTTTGCCAAATTTCACATAGGCTTCTGCAGGCTCAACACTGGCGCCTTCTCAAGGAAATCCACATGTGCAAATATGAACGAGGAATTTCTGTCATTTTTATTATGCCCTTTGGGGAAAACACCCTTTCTAGTAAGACATACTTCATCATTTCTTAGTTTTTAAAAAGCATTTTTCATTCTAAAGTATTAATGTTTTCTGTTACGTGTTTGGAGAACCAGCTAATATATGAGTCAAATACCTGGCTCTACAGAATGATAACAGAGCACTTTATCTGTCGAGCCTCAACTCTAAGACAGTGACCCTTCTAACATGACTATTACTGTTTGATCTTAAATATATTAAAGTATAGCACATAATTTATTAAGTGGCATTATAATTGCCAAGGATATTTAGGGCAGAATCAATGGAAAATTGTAAATAAAATTTAAAAGAGACTTCTGCAAGTATCACTACAAGCTCTATTTAAAAGCAGAAATATTTACTTTCAAGGTTTATAAATTTTCTTTTTTTAATTTTTTCCTAAATATATGTTTTATTTAAATTATAAACATGAATGCTTCACATGTCAATCCCAGCTCCTTTTCCCACCCCACCTCCCTTATCCCTCCACTAGCCACCCAGCCCCCCACCCAATCCCCACATCATTCTCCAGGGAGGGTGAGGCCCTCCTTGGGGGGGATCTCCAAAGTCTGTCATTTCATCCATGGCAGGACCTAGGCCCTTCCCCATGTGTCCAGGATGAGAGAGCATCCCTCTATTTGAAATGGGCTCCCAAAGATCATTCATACACCATAGTAAACACCGATCTACTACCTAAGGCCCCAGTGATTTCTGAGGCCTCCTCACTGACACTACATTCATGGAGTCTGGATCAGTCCCCTGTTGGCCTCTCAGCCATACGTCTGGGATTCAAGAGCTCCCGCTTATCTGGTCAGCTGTCTGGTCACTGTGAATTTTAAATTGCAATGAGACCTGAGAATTTATTTTATTGTTTCATCATGTGCATCTCACTAAAAGTCTTTTAGGGAGGAAAAGTATTGGTATTTATTACTCAATCAGAAGTGTGAATAATCTAGACTTTTTATATCTATTCATCACCAACAAGACAGTGACTGGCATTTCTTGAATAGCTATGTTCCAGTCCTTTTTTTTTTAAATTAGCACCTCAGAGTATAATTTTCATCAATTAACAAAACTGGCAGCTAGAGTTTAAAGACACCAGATCATTTGTTCAATCCCTAGTTGTACCTATGATCTGAATCTAGGTTTCTTGAATTCTAACGTATCCAAATTCCACTGTCAGTTCTATGAAAAAATAGAAAATAAACAGACTAATTAGTTATTCTGACCCTAATAAAATCATGAAAACTAAAGGTAACTCAGAACAAAATTTAATATTTTTACCTTCCAAAAAACTGAAGACTGTATTACAAAGTTCTTCAAAGTCACTACAAAATTGTTTCCTCAAGAAAGAAAGTTTCTCAAGCAGTATAATGCAGTTAACTAATTGAACAAAGAGAAAGGAGGAGTTAGGCATTAAGGAGATGGGGAAGAGAAATAATAAGTGAACAAATTAGGCCTAACTTTATCAGTTCTTTTTAAAACTATGGGGGTGAGATGGCTGATCAGGGTTGTCAACTTGACTGCACCCATCTGGAATCAATAAAACCCCAAGCAGCTGGACATACCTGGGAGGAACTGGTTGCCAGTCTATATGAAAAAGGCAAGGAAAAAGGAAATTTCTGCCTTTTCCCTGCTTACCCCCACTTTTGCTGCCAAGCTCATCTATCCTGATGCTGGAACATTCTTATATTGTCACAAGAGCCTATTACTTCAGTATTCCAATGTAGAATGAAGACCATTTATGATATCCAGCCTCATGGATTGAATAACTATTAGATTATTGGCCTTTTGGTTGTTGGACTAGCTGGACCACAACCTGTAAGTGACAATATTAAATCGTGTGTGTGTGTGTGTGTGTGTGTGTGTGTGTGTGTGTACTGTGGTAGCTTAAAAAAAAGTGACCACACCCAAAGAGACTGTCACTATTAGGAGGTACGATTTTCTTGAAATAGGTATGGCCTTGTTGGAGGAACTGTGCTAATATGAGGGTGGGCTTTGAGGTATCCTGTGCTCAAGTTACACTAATAGTGACTCAGTTCATTTCCTGTTGCCTAAAAATCAAGATGTAGAACTCTCAACTCCTCCAGCACCATATCTACGTACATGCCACCATGTCCTGCCATAATGATAATGGACTAAACCTCCAAAACGGTAAGTCACCTCAATTAAATGTGTTTTTTTTTATTAGAGTTGCTGTGGTCATGGTGTCTCTTTACAGCAATAGAAATCCCAAGATGTGTATTCACGTGTTTTTTCATTCTGTCAGTTCTTTTTCTCAGAAGAATCCTAACACAGAGGGTGTGAGAGTTATTCTAAAATTTCTTATAAATATGGGGAACCTTTAAATTCTGTGGTCAGAATTTAGCAAGTAAGATTTATAAATCTCTGCTCCCATGAGCAAACTTGCTAGCAGCTTTCAGCTACAAGTCAAAGAGAGGCCAGGGAGTGCTTAGCTGGAGTTTGTGTTGTGCCATCTTCCCATTACTGTAACAAACATCTGAGACAGTCAACTTAAGCTAGCAAAGGTTTCTCTCAGTTCATAGTTCCAGAGGTTCCAGTCCATATTCACTTGCCCGCTTTCCTTACCAATCTGTAGCAAAGGCAACAAGTTATGGCAGTGGGTAAAACTATTCATTTTGTGACCTGGAGGAAAGAGAAACTGGCCCCCTCCTACTAGACCCCACATTTAAAAGATGCTACTACTTTCCATAAGGCTGGGGAACATGCCTTTACATTAAATCCAGCTCCTTGGGACACATCTCACATCCAAACTGTAACGATGTGTATCCCTCAAAACAACTGGAAGGCCTTTCTGTAATCCTAGAGAACAAACCTAATGTTATACCACTTTGTGGATCTGATTTAAACTGTCTGCTGAAAGTGTTCCACTGAGTTGAGTACATTTTCAAGCCCAGAGAAGCCAATGGACGGAGATGTTATTAATTCAACTTAGATAACAGGCCTTTCTTTATTACACAGGCCAGCATCCCTAAGGAAGGAGGGACTGGGGAAGCCACACTTGTAAGCATGAGAAAATGGTGTCTACTGCAGACCAGAGGAACAGAGGAACAGAACAAAAGACTCTCAAAATTCATGGGAAAGAACAATGCTGCTGGAATGAATTTAGAGGAAATACAAGCTAAACTTGATTTTTAAAAATAAAAGCCAGTGTCTAAGACTGTTAAGATCTGTGACAGTCTCATTATTCAAGCTTATAGAATATTTTATACATTAATTTGTGTGACAAAGCATATCAGTGGTGTGTTCTTTTTCTCTGCACAGCCTGAGTAGCTTTCAAACAGGATATAATAGTGTTGAAAACTCAGAAGAAAGCAGTCAGAAAACAAAAACCCTAAAGTGTGTTCATTGACCTTCCTCCAAGTGCTTTGACCGGATGACCAAGGTCTTGAATGATTTCATGTTCTGTGTATTCCGTCACTGAGTTCAGGACTTTTAGGTCCAACTTAAATAAGCAGGGACAAGTTCTGATTTACATTCTCAACACCTGATTCTTTCAGCTGAAGTGCACTAAAATTCCTTTTCAACGATCCATCATGAATAGCTTCATTTTCAACTAATACTCAACTTACTACATTTCTTTTTTTTTAGACAGAGTCACACTACACATATGGGCTGGCTGGTAATTCACTGTGTAGCTCAGGCAAGTCAGTAACTCACTATACATTCCAGACTGACCTCTGACTTACTTTTTTTTCCTTCCTTAGTCTCTCAAAGGCTGGAATTATTAGTTTGTGGCATTCATGCCTTAAATCCCTATGATTTTTGATACAGAGGGTTAGCACACTGACCAAGAACAAAGAACGATCACTGCCAAAGAACCTAAGAGCACAAGGTCCTCTTGCAGGGCATTGAGAGTAACATTTTTTTAACATTTTCCATCAGGACACATTGCATCTTCTAGTAGCTGAGTAATGTGAATTCAAAATCTGCAATCTAAGCATGCACCTAAATCTGATTCAGTTTGAGATCTTATAAAAGATCTTCAAGGCCCCACATTGTTTGATCTAGATAAGCTAAAGTAACCTGCATTTTACCTCACAAGAAAACAAAAATGTGAGAGAGAAAACCACATATACAATGCTTCAGGGAGCATGTCCACACAGTAACAAGTGTGTGTGGGATGTCATTCCCAAGTCATTGTGGCCTTTTGTATAAAACACACTCCTGAAAACATAGGATCATCTATTTACACAGATATAACCAAATAGCGCCCAAATCTACCCCATGTGTGTTTTCTACTTTGCACATGTGCAGATTAATACACCATTCCCATGCAGGTCATGGCAGAATCTTCTCCACTTTTGTTCTGTCCTGTAGACTGGGCGTCACCAAAGGTCTTAACTTTCAGTCAGTCATCTGATGGCTTACAGCTACTTTGGTCTGTTTTTGTTTGAGTTGGAACATGGAATTATGTTACTTCCAGGCACAGCTCCAGTTTTCTTGTTTTGATTTTAAGCTTTCTTGCAATGAATGAATCACTGAGACAGATATTACCTAAGCAACAAAACTTCAGAACCAACTTGCAGCACCATACTACCAATTACTGTGTCTTTATGACTATTTTACCACTGAAACAGATAAAGGGACATTAAGACAATGAATGCTTTTTTTTTCAAATACCAAGCTGGTAATTTTTGTATTTTATAACATTTATTCCAATTTATGTTTGCATGTGTTTGGTCATTTCTGTTTGCTATATTAACAGAAGAGCTTCAGGGGGGCAAGGGTTCAGAGCCTCTTTTCTTTAGAGTTGGGCACATGTCCCAAACACTACACGTACACAATGCCATTAAGGAGAATTTCTGCATATCTCTCTTATCCTCACACTTTACAAAATAGTGCTTTGCCGGGTGGTGGTGGAGCACACCTTTAATCCCAGCACTCGGGAGGCAGAGGCAAGCGGATCTCTGTGAGTTCGAGGTCAGGCTGGACCGACTACCTCCAAAACAATACAGAGAAACCCTGTCTCATAAAAAACCAAAAAAATAAATAGTGCTTTTTATTAACTCTTTGAGAATTCCTTATATGCATGCACTCTGTTTAGAATCCTTTATCTTTTATTTTTCAGATTATACTATAATTACCACATATCTCATTTTTCCATCTTCCTATGGACCGGTTATCCCACCTCTTGACATCTGCCCAAAGGACTTGACAGCCTACTCCACAGATATTTGGTACTTTTTTAAAAACAGTAACAAACGGACTTAGCAATGATAAAGTTGGAGTAAAATATCAGTATGATAAAAGTTCCAGACAGAAATTTAGTAAAAATATTATACTATCATGATAGAGTTATTCCCAAACTTGAAATCTGTGTTAAATAAGCAATTACTAAGGATTAGGAGATGGCTCACGAGTTAAAGTGCTAGCCGTGCAAGCATGAAGACTGGCATTCAGAGCCCTAAACAGTGTAACTGTCAGGTAGACAAGGGTGCCTCCTTGTAATTCCAATGTTTATAATACAGAGAAAGGATTTCCAGAGCAAACTGAATATCTAAATTAGTCACGTTCATGAACTGGGTTCAGCGAGATGCCCTGTCCAAATGAATAAGGTAGAAAGATGGAAAACTACTGAAGTCAGCATCAGTCAGCCTCCACAAACATGTCTCCATACGTGTGTACATACAAATGAGAACACATATCCACATGAGAAAAAAGAATAAAAGAAAGTCAATAATATAATGCAGATAATGGTATGCAAATGAAGTGAATCCTGTATGCAGCATGACAAATTGAGATGCACCAGTGATAACCTCCAAAACAGAAATGAGACCAGCACGTTACTGAACTTCCATATATCTGGCTGCTATTCAGACAATGAGTTTCAAGACTGAGGGTGCAATTACTAAATGGGACCTCCTGAAACTGAGAAGCTTCTGTAAAGCAAAAGACACAGTCAACATGACAAAAAGGCAGCCCACAGAATCTGAAAAGATATTCACCAACCCCACATCTGACAGAGGGTTGATCTACAAAACTTACAAAGAACTGAAGAAGCTATTCTCTAAAACGCCAAATAACTCACCTAAAAAATGGGGTACAGAACTAAGTAGAGAATTCTCAATAGAGGAGTCTAAAATGGCTGAGAGACACTTAAGAAAGTGTTCAGCATCCTTAGCCATCAGGGAAATGCAAATCAAAACAACTCTGAGATATTATCTTTCTCCTGTCAGAATGGCTATAATCAAAAATACCAGTGACAGTTCATGCTGGAGGGGATGTGGAGAAAGGGGAACACTCCTCCACTGCTGGTGGGAGTGCTAACTTGTACAGCCACTCTGGAAATGAGTATGGAGGTTCCTAAGGAAAATGGGAATCACTCTACCACAAGACCCAGCAATTCCACTCATATGCATATATCCAAAAGAGGCAAATGCATACATCAAGGATGTCTGTTCCACTATGTTCATAGCAGCGTTACATGTAATAGCCAGAACCTGGAAGCAATGGGATACTACCCAGCGGCAGGGGAGGGATGGGGAGAGGCAATCGAATCTTGAAATTTCTAGGCAAATGGATGGCACTAGAAGAAACCATCTTGAGTGAGGTAACCCAGTCACAAAAAGACAAACATGGTATGTACTCACTCATATATGGATTTTAGATATGCATCAGGGGATTGCCAGCCTACAGTCCCACTGCCAGAGTCTGGGAAACAGGGAGTATCCTAAGAGAGAATAGGACAGGATTTCCTAAGCAGATTAGGAGCATGAGATGAGGGGAGAGGGAGCTGGGAGAAAGAGAGGGGGGAAGAGGAGGGAGAAGAGGACATGAGGCAGCAGGAAGGTTGAGTCGGGGAAGAATAGAGGAGAGCAGGATGAGAGATATCATAATAGAAGGAGTCATTAAAGACTTGAGGAGAGATCTGGCACTAGTGCGATTTCCAGAGATCTACAAGGATGACACCAACTGACAATCTAAGCAATAGTGGAGAGGCTACCTTAAATGAACTTCCCCAATAATGAGATTGATAACTGCCTAATATGCCATCCTAGAGCCTTCATCCAGTGGCTGATTAAAATAGAAGCAGACACCCACAGCTAAATACTGAACTGAACTCCTGGAATCCAGTGGCAGAGAGGGAGGAGTAATGTGCAAAGGGGTTAAGACCAGGCTGGTGAAACGCACAGAGACAGCTGATCTGAACAAGGGGGAGCTCATGGACCCTAGAGTGATGGCTGAGAGGCCAGCATGGGACTGATCCAGAACCCCTGAAAGTGGGTGTCAGTGAGGAGATCTCCACAATCTATAGGGCCTTGGGTAGTAAATCAGTATTTATCGCTGGCATATGAATGGACTTTGGGAGCTTATTCCACATGGAGAGTTGCTCTCTCAGCCTAGACACATGGGGGAGAGCTTAGGCCCTGGATGATATGATTGACTTTGGAGATCCTCCATAGAGGGCCCCACCCTCCCTGGGGAAAGGACATGGCATGGGGTGGGGGGTTGGAGGGAGCAGTTGGTGGGGAGTGAAGGAGGGGAGGGAGAGGGAGCTGGGATTGACACATGAAGCAAGTAGTTTCTAATTTAAATAAGAAATAATAATTTAAAAAATCAAAAAACAGAAAACAAAATCAAAAATAAGAATAAGGGTGACACAACTCTTGCTATAAACATTAATATCGCTGAGCATACAACAATGCATAAAATTGAGTAAAGTGAAGTTTGTTTGCCATGAAGTTCATTACTTGAGTATTTTGTTGTTGTTGTTATAAAGCTTAAACTGAATGCAAAGTCCTAAGCAGTCATGGATTACAAGTCATGTCTCCAAAGAAAGCAAGAGCAAAGGAATGCTATTCTGGAAATACGTTGAAACTGGCCAGTCATTCTTCTCTCAAGTTCAGGGGCTTTTAAGAGCTGATTGTCTGCTACTGGGCTCCAGTCGCCAATACCAACCGCACCTCTGTTTTGATCCCTACTGGAGTTCATAATTCTGAAAAAATGTGATAGAGTGTGCTGTTGTTAGTGGATCAAAAGCCTGGTAGATGGATTTCATTAGAACTTGGCAGTAGATCTGACTCACAAAACTACACAGCCACTTCTCCTCATCAGTCACCCAACTTATACTCGGTTATTCACTATAAGGAATGACTTCCAAAATCAGGAGATTGTAGTCATTAAACTAGTTTCATACACTAATCACATTTTAAAAATCTTATATTTTTATGTAAACCCAAGTTTCTGTGGTACAGGAAATGCTCAGCACTACCGTAAGCAAAATTCAATTATGTGAAACATGCACTCAAATTATAAAAACAGAGACACTTGTAAAACTTACATAAAAGAATCCCAGTGGTCCAGATATATATGGCATTTTTATTCCCAAGAGATACTTGACTTGTGAAGTCACAACATGGGTGGCGGCCCCCGTGGTCATGGCGCTGATCACAGGCTCTGTAACTAGGAACGTGGCACTGCCCAGCTGCAGCACAAACATAACCATCTAAAAGGATAGAGGAGAGTTGGGCATCACATTCAGGTGACATCCTTAAGGTTCCTAAGGAGGTGAAATGTCAGACACATTTCTGTTTTATAGTTGCATAGTGACCTGGGTAATGGGTTTCTTTAATTGGATGTAATCGGTATTTGTGTGTTTTTGAGAGTATTACAAGGTTGAGAAGTGACCTAAATTTTCCTAAGTACAGTATGCATGGTTTCATTAAAGTTAACCCGATAGTTTCTACCTTCTGAATATTGACCATTCTTTTTCTTTTCCTTATTAGGCTGCTGGGAATCTAGGCATCAGTGTTGACCAGGCTTCTGTGTTAATTCCTACTGGAGTTCATAATACTGAAAGAATGCAATAAAATATTCTGTTTGAAAGGCAAAATTAGGAAATGGTTTAGAGAAAGACACACTAGAATCAACATGTGGATCTCTGTAGGGAAAATTTCAAATTTTCATTAACATTTTTAAATTTTTAAATTAACATTTGTAATTTTTAAAATGCCCCCAAAGAATCATGATTCACTACTTGATACCCAATAAATGTATAACTTCAAAGGCATTAAGGAAAGAACTTTTTACCTGGGTTTCTGAAAAGTGGGAGCAAAGCCTGACACGATGCCCTGGGAGACTATTCTAAAAGGTTAGTGTTAACTAAGAAGACAACAGATCTGTCTGCAGGTGGGGATCCAGATAGAGACAGACAATAGAGATAGACATGGGAATACAGACAGTGTCTTAGTTAGGGTTCTATTTCTGTGAAGAGACTCATGACCATGCTAACTCTTATAAAGGAAAGTATTTAATAAGGTGGGTGACAGTTTCAGAGGTTTAATTCATCATCATCACGGTGGCATGCAGGCAGACAAGGTGCTGAAACTGAGAGACCTACATCTTGATCAGCAGACAACAGGAAATGGTCTGAGACACTGGACATGGCTTACGCATATGTGAGACCACAAAGCCCACCCCCACAGTGACATACTTCCTCCAACAAGGCCACACCTACTCCAACACAGCCACACATCCTAATAGTGCCACTTTCTATGAGCATATGGGAGCCAATTACATTCAAACCACCACAGACAGGGAATACAGATAGAGACAGGGATACAGATAGAGACAGAGAACACTGATAGGGATGGAGTATGGATGTATTAAGAAAAGGACTTTATAGAAATCACTATAAAAACAATTTCCTTAAACACTGTCTGATGACTGCCAGCATCATCCTCCATTTCAACATAAGTTCATAAGGCAAAAACACACTTCCGCCATTTCTAGGATCATATCTTTTGCCAGAGGACAGAGCAAGGTGACCTTAAAAAGATCTTTGACCATGTAAACCCAGGCACAGGATCAGTAAAAAAATAATTTTTATTAGTTTGAACGTAACACTGAATTATATTTGTGAGTATCCCTCCTAGAAAAGAGAAATAAGTAATGTTTTAATATTAGAATGAAGGTCAAGTCTTAAAATTCCTGTTGGAAAATAAGATTAACAAGAAACCAGAGGGAAGAATAGCAGAGAAATTTCCTGCAATCAGAACGCTAACAATGAGACATAGAAGTTCATAATGCTATCTGCTACACCAGAATATAAATTGCAACATGTGTGACATCTATATTGTGAGAGCATCACAATGCATGTTTGGCTGCCAGCAATAATGCTCTCCTATTAAGTGCAGTTCACTGGGCAGAATCTGGAACATTAGCTTTATGATCCTGTTTTCTCCCACATCCTAAATGTGTGGCTGCAGAAAACCTACTGTAATTCTTTGAACTGACTCATCATCTATAAATTATTATTGGAGTGATGCCCTGTTCATCCTTTAGGGTTCTGGTAAGGTGCTTGTGAAATGATACACAAAAATGCTTTAAAGCCTATGAATCATGCAGGATGGGTAATAAAGAAAGATGTCGTGGAGCATTTCACGTATCTACTCCATGGGAAACTAGCTATCGATTTTAAAAACGCAGACATGGCCACACCATGTTTTTCAACTCTGGAAGCCTTGAAAGAAAGAGCATGCAGAAAGGGTTGACTTTGAGTTGTCGCAGCTTAGCAGCCACCTTTCATTCAGTGTGCGATAAAAGAAGAAGGAGGGCATTAACACAGAAACCAGGCAACCTCCCACTGCCAACAGGAAGAGAAGGCTGTGGTTTCTGTTAACATGCTTTGTTTCAGAAGCCGTATGTTAGTTAAGAAAGCAGAAACAAGACCCTCCTGGGAATTCCAGTGCAACCAAGCTTACGGGTACTCAAGGAACACGGTGATCTTTGTGGCCTCTCTTAACATAGTCTGTTGATTTCCTTCTGCAAATACAATCTTGAAAAACACTGAACCAAGAATTCCCAAGTATCTCTCCATAAGCAAGATCATGAATTCCCATTTTGGTATTAACTCTTTTAGGTCATGACAATGAAATTAGCATATTATTATATTACAGAGAAACCAGAGTTGGGTCTTCATTATATCTAAATGAACCATACATGTAGTTCACATCATTTAAATTCTGGATGCTATCCACATAAATAAAATGCTATGTATGTGTGGAGGGTTGAGAAATTCCTACCTGTGTGACTAAAAGCTAATCATTGTTTTAAGAAGGAAACTTTTTTTTAATCTTTGAAAATCTTTTATTTTTTAAATCTCAGGTGCACAAATTTACATTAATCAGAATCTTTGGCTCACAACACATTTATTTCTTTATCATATGCAGGCATATTTTATTTATTCATTTGTTTTTATAATACAATAATAACAGTAAAGTTGGCAATATATAGAATAAACAATAGAAGCCACAAATAACCAGCTCACCCAATAAAAAAGAACAAAGGCAGAGGCATGGTACTTCTTCAAACTATATAACAGAGTTAATAGTCAGCCTGCTGGGTGGTGGTGGCACCTTTAATCCTAGCACTTGGGAGGCAGAGGCAAGCAGATCTCTGTGAATTTGAGGCCAACCACGTCTATAAAGCACGTTGTAGGATAGCTGGAGCTATTGCATAGAGAAACCCTGTTTTGAAAAAGAAAAAGCAACACAACAAACCCAACCAAACCCAAACCAACCAAACCGAACCAACCAACAACCAATCAAGCAAACAAAACATAGTTGAGTAATCAAAAAGGCATAGCATTGGTACAAAGTTTGACATATAGAACAATGGAATAGAATGGGGAATCAAAAATAACTCCATATGTATGTATATATACACACACAAATATATATGTATATATGTATATATATATATATATATATAGTCAGCTATGTCACAAGGTACAGAAAATATACAAAGGAGAAAAAATGCTTTTAGAAAATGGTGTTGGAAAAAGTAGACATTCATAACCCAGAGAATGAAATTGGTCTCTTCAGAAAACAAAATGGAAATGCTCATGACATTAGTCTTGTCAGTAATTTTAGGACACCAGTTGCACAGAAAACAAAACAAAAAATAAACAATCAGGATTGCACCAAACTAAAAGAGCAAGAAGGAAACTTTTTAAAATGTATTTTTCCTTTTACATCCTAACCCAATTACCCTCCCTCCCCTTCTCCTGCATCCCACCTCCCCCTTTGCCATACCCATTCACTCCTCATAGGGAAGGCCTTCCTTGAGGAGTCAACAAAATCTCACATACAAGGTGAGACAGGACCAAGCCCTTCTGCCCTGTATCATATCTGAGTAAGGTATCCTACCTTAGGGAATGGGCTCCAAAATGCCAGTTCATGACCCTGGTTTAGGTCCTTATGCCAATGCCAGGGAAGAAGCAATCTTTTAAAAGGCTTTTCAGGGACCATCACAATTTCAACTTCTTCTTTTGCTTTATTTCCTAAATTACAAGGTCTGTTCAGATGGGTTGATGTCTTGCCATGCCTGAGAAATCTGCACTGGCCACTAACTGTAACCACCTGAACCACGAACTTCCACTCACAGCTTGGTCATTTCCACAATCTATGCTTCCAAACCGAAAGGTCCAGGACAACTCCAGGGTATCAAAAGAGCCCAACCATTTCAAATGCTAAGAACATTGGACTCTACTAAGCCACAGGAATCAGAAACAAGGGCCTACCCTCTTTTCAAACACCACAGACTCAACTATTATAATGTGCTATGTGCCCACATATCTATGTCTTTAAAACACCCTGACAGCAAGGGACAAGAGTTTGGAAGAGAGAGCTCTTGAGTGGAAGGACAACAGGTCCCTCAAGAACTCTTTCTGACATGGACCACTGGGCAGGAATAACAAGCATGGGGGAGACAGTACTTTCATCTGTCTTCTCTTTTCTGTATTTTCAAGTTGTTGGAAACCTTAATGTACTTACTGTATCTATAGTCTTACCTTTTCAAGAGTGTCATATAAAAGAAATCTTTACACTATTTATTTTTACTTAAGATATAAATAGAAGATTCATGCAGGTCTTTGAGTATTTGAACATGTTCCAAGATCAATGGCAAATATGAGAAGGAGGAGAAAGGGAGGCATGCAAAGAGAGGATGGGCAAAGACAGAAGCAGGAAAAGGAGAGTATTAAGACCTCATGGAGCCCAGACTGATATCTGGGAAACCAGCATAGGACCGATCCAGGCCCCCTGAATGTGGATGTCAGTTAGGAAGCCTGGGCAATCTATGGAACCTCTAATACTGGGTCAGTATTTATCCCTAAGATATAAATGGGCTTTGGGACCATTCTTTTTGTTTAAACAGAAAAGTGGAGATGTTGGGTAAGTCCTGTGTATTTGTCAATAAAGCACTGTTGGCCAATAGGGAACCAAGATAGGTGGAACTTGGAGTCCAGGAGGACTCTGGGAAGGAGAAACACAGCAAGTCAAGATGTAGCTACCAGAGGGGTCAGAAGTCCGGACTGCTTTCTCCGGTAAGAGAAATACTTAGACGGGTTAAATACTTAAGTCAGAGCTAGCCAGTAAGAAACAAGCAAGGCCAACAGTGCTTTATTGACAAATACACAGGACTTCCCCAACAGGGAGCTCATTC